CCACGTTATTCAATATACCACAATAGTATTATGATATATCTCTGTTGTATACATACCGATTCCCGAACGACATGATTTCAGAGCGGCACGAACTCGACGTATCGGACGACAATCTTGACTTCTTCCCTCATGCAAATTGATGCAATACCGGTAGCAAGCTTATCAAGCCAACGTGGGATATATTTCCATTGCGATTGCCGCACCCCACTTCCCATCTGAATCCCTGTATGTATTTTTTCTATCATTTAGCTGAGTGAAGTGCTTCATACAACGTTGTTCCAATGTTGTGCAACATCTCATCTACATTGCTTTCATTTCTTTCCGTTTGGTTTTTGTTCGTGAAGTTTCCACTGTTGAGGTGCAATTGGCGACGATTGTCATATTCCCGTGCTTCTAAGTTTGTTGGCATAAGGTTTGGTACCTACTGCATGCTGGGTGCTCGTAAGTTGGAAGTAGATGAGGTCTTGGGCTACTGTCCAGTCTGGTTGATAGCCGTTGTTGGTGGTGGCATGTTCGTCTAATTGCTGGTGTAATAAGACCCAACCCATTTGAGCACCAACCGCTCATATTATTCTTGTCATATATGATATTTTACAAAAAGAGATATTGCGTGTTGGTTTGAAGGTGAGTTCGTCCCCTGTATCCTCTGATCAATATGCATATATGTATTGCTACGAACCCACATGAGTGTGTGATTTTGCGTAGAACGTTTAGAGATTTTTATTTGCTTAACATTATACTCGAAATCTATCAAACATGGATCAAAAAGATGGTCTTGAAGCTTTTGGTGCTCCCGTGACTGACAAGCCACAGAGTACGGATAGGCGGGGTAGTCACATGGCTACCATTGAGGACGATGATGAGAGGTTGTTGAATCGAATTGGTTATACTCAAGTCAGTCTTCTTCATAATCTGCAATCAATGTGATGTCCACTGACAATAGCTAAGGACCTACGACGACATTTCTCAAAATGGTCCACATTATCATATGCCGTCTCCGTTCTTGGTGTGCTGGGATCGGTCCCTGCTACATTTGGGAGCCCTTTAAGTCTTGGTGGACCAGCAGCGTCAGTATGGGCGTGGTTCTTTGGGTCAGTAATGGCACAAATAATATCAAGTTCAGGTGAGGAATCTTCATTTTCAAACTTTGAATTCCGCTTATACATCTAAAGTGGCAGAATTAGTGTCTGCATACCCGACGGCAGGTGGCATGTACTTTGTTACGAAAAATGTCGTTCCAGATGAACATGCCGCTATATGGAGTTGGATTATTGGATGGTGTAATCTACTTGGTCAAACTGCAGGTGTTGCCAGTGTGGGATATACTGTCTCTCAACTTATCTTGGCAGCTGCTAGTATGAACTCTCTTTTTGATGAGACAACATTGACATATGCCTACTCACCGTAAGTCTGAAGAGGCAATCTAAGATATCAGATGCTGATAGCCCGATAGAACTGCTCTACAGACAGCCGTCCTCTCATGGCTGATTCTCATGATCATGGGAATTATATGTTCCTTGACAACAAGACGCCTCCACCAGATAGTAACCTGGTTCATGCCCATCAATGTTCTCGCTTCAATTGCAATTTGCATCGCTCTACTTGTTCTTACTCCTAACAAACAATCCGCGACCTGGGTATTCACCCACTTCACCAACGGATCTGGCTGGGGAACACCATTTTCATTCTTCCTTTCCTTTCTATCCGTAGCGTGGACCATGACCGATTACGACGGCACAACCCACATGTCAGAAGAAACGCACGATGCGGCAGTTCGTGGTCCAATGGCCATTCGATGGGCCGTCACTATCTCTGGAGTGGTTGGATGGATGCTCACAGTTACATTTTGTTTCTGTACAACGGATCTCGATGCAATTATACACTCCCCGACAGGAATGCCAGCTGCTCAAATATTTCTAAATGCGGCTGGAAAAAGAGGAGGCACTGCAATGTGGTTTTTTGTCATCCTCGTTCAGTTCTTCACTGGATGTTCTGCAATGCTTGCAGATACTAGAATGGCATATGCATTTGCGAGAGACGGAGCTCTTCCATTTTCCAAGTTCGTTTACACATCCCCAATTCCCCCTTTTACACACTCTCCCATATCTTATTTTCCTTACATACATACCGAACAACTAACACCCCCCACCCCAGTTTCTGGGCCAAAGTAAACCCAATCACCCACACCCCCATAAACTCCGTCTGGCTCATTGTCATCCTCACCTGCGCCCTAAACACCATCGCCATCGGCAGCACCGCCACCATCGTCTCCATATTCAACATCACAGCCCCAGCCCTCGACATGTCGTACGCGGCCGTGATCCTCGCGCGTAACATCTACGCCTCGCGCGTGAAATTCATTCCTGGTCCCTACACCCTCGGGGTCTGGCAAAAACCCCTCAATGGAATTGCATGTGCTTGGGTGTTTTTTATTAGTGTGGTCCTCATGTTCCCGACGATTAGACCGGTGACGAGTGAGAATATGAATTATGCGGTGGTGGTAGGGGCGGCGATTGCGGTGTTTAGTTTGGGGTGGTGGTGGGCGGGTGCGAGGAGGTATGTTTATTTCTTTCTCTTGTGTTGTTTGGAGAGATGGAATTACGGAGATGAAGGTTGCTAATGTGGATTTGGAATGGAAATAGAACGTATACGGGACCAAAAACAAAAGATCTTATGCATTCTATTGCGTCGGAGGAAGGAAATTATGAATCGGATCAGAGACCTAACTATGGGAGTATCAATGGTCAATGATTTGAATGCGAAGAAAAAAGTTGGATGATGATAAAGGAGTTCTAGAGTTGGGATTGAGAAATCGATCGGTTAGCAAAGCGTTTCTTGGATGAATTGAAGTTGTTCTTTGAAGTATTCATTACAATAACCATTTCTCTCTACTTATACATATAGCAAAGGGAGTGAGTGTGTGGGTAATTAGAAGGAGTAACTTTCTAAAATAAACAAATTAAATGTGTGAGTGATTATCTACAGAAGCTCTGGGTTTGTTTCAATATGGCGAGTACCAACCGGTCCGTACTGAATCAATTGCCAACGAACAGAAACTTGATTGAGTTCCAAGAAGTTAGAAAATAGATAGATACTTTTCCTCATCTACCTGGTGAAAAGAAGCCAAACTACATGCCCCTCCCTCCCCTCGGTATGTCAAAGAAAGCTAATATAACCCCACTTTATTGCCATCTCCACCCACAAACCCCACCAAGTCACACACCTCAAAAAATAAAACCCTCCCCTCTCCCAAACAAAAACACTCTCTCACTCAGTTACAATAAGAGCCAAAAATAAATAAAAAAATAAAAAAACTGCCAAAAATAAAGCTCCCGGCCTGGTTCGAACAAGCGACTTGGCGATGTTTGTCATGCGTTAACGGACTCCTATCAGAGTGTTACTGCAATCGCCCACTCTACCACTGAGTTACAGGAGCTTGGTGTTTTGATATGAATGAGAGACTTGTTTTAGGATATATATCGTGACTGTGTGGATGTGGGGGTAGGGATGTGAGGTTTCGGAAATTATGGGTGGGGGTTGATTCTCACGTGATAACTAATACATCATTGTTCATTTCAACAAAAGAATAAGGCAAAAGATTTCTTAGGATTTCTTTATTTTTCTATATATATATACCGGTACTTTGTCTTTATAGTTAACTCAACTCAACATCCTCATTGCCCGTACCTTTTAATTTACTATTTAGTATATAGCTATAAAAAAGCCGCAAACTGATTCCTCTCTTTCTTCTCCTTATTGACAACTCTATTTACCAACTGTCCCACTATACTTTTTACTCGCACACCTTCATGATGTTATTATTCATATCATACGAATTAGACTAGACCTGTTATCGAAACTTGTGAAAAAAGATCAATCTTATCACAAAATTTGGACAGACTTTCTCACTAAGTATAGCTTTGATCTCATATATATACAGCAGTTTATTACTACTCGAGTATTATGATTCGGACTTTTTTGAGAGGAATAAAACACTTGACTTTTGCGAATATTGGATTCTTGTCGAAAGGTTCATGATATTCGAAAGTTGTTTCAATTTCACTCGAGAGTATTGATTCATTATTCGAGAGATTTCACTTCATTTAAAAAAGTTTCAATCTACCTGAGCGATTCAATTCGTTAAAAGACTCTATTCATTTGAGAGATTTAGTTCACCTAAAAGGTCCAACTCCCTTTTCATTTACCTCACTTATCCTTTTACATCATGCAACGCACCAAATTCCGTCAAATCTTTCTCAGTATCCTTAACTCCACTCGCCAATCTCTTCCCCTTGAATACGGGTTCAAATCCCGGGCCCTCACGAGGCGATGGTGTCTCTGGAGTAGTACCGCGAGACATATCATTATTCGCCACAGAAGGAGACAATGTGGTGGCTTGCGTCGCCTCGTACGAAGATTTTGATGCGGTAGACAATGTGAATTTGTTTTTGTTTTGCCCGGACATCCTATTTGGAGTCAAGTGTTCTAATTCAGGCTGTGACGGTACGGCTGGGATGAACGGCGGCTCTCGTTTTTGGAAAAGATTGTGTGTCAGGATGTTTGAGTCAGATGATGAGGTTCTAGATTGGGACTCTCCGGAGATGATTTTGTCGTCTTCGTTACTTCCAAGGGATTGATTTCTCAATTTTAGCGGATTTAACTCATTCTCCAAGGGTAGTTTTGAGAGTGATTTCTCAATGTTTGGACCTTGTATAGGTGACGGGGTATCGATCGAAACCTCGGTATCCAGCGATTTGCTCTTCTTGGTGAATCCAGTCATCCATTTCCTGATGGCTGCACCACACGCTTTAAGGGGTTCGGATCTAGCTCGTCGGCCGAATATAACTGCGCCTTCCATGTACCTGCTAAAATCCTCGAGGTTGGATTTCTGTGGGGATTTCGATAGATGAATAGTCTTCTGATATTGCCAGTGAAGGCCTACTTCTCCGGCGTCATCTGAGTCGTAGTGAGGGCATGGATCGGAGAAGTGCGCTTCGCTAACTTTCCATTCATATAACCGACTATTTCTGATTTGAATCTTGAAATGAGATGGTTCATCGTCGCCATGCGTATGCCTGACATGTTGACAACTACTGAGACAACTTACTGGTGCCACCAGATAGTCCATATTCGTTGGAACTGATTGGCATCTGTGAAAAAGCAAACGTTATCTCATGCTCAAAGGGGCAGGGTCAGTAGTAATATCATCAAGAGGAAACTTACTTTGAACAGAGTTTACAATCTGATTCTGGTGTAATAAGATCCCCAATTCCTGAACAAAAGAACACTTGCTCTCTATTTCGTCTCATTTTTGCCCAACCTCCGGAAGTATGATGTAGCTTCTGTTCTTTGTACCCAAGCGAGGCAGCATAGGACAATTCTTCCATTTCAAATCCGTAGATTTTAGAGTGATGAAAAATTGACATCTCCTTGCTTCGCCATGCAACGTTCTTTGCTAATGCCGCGTCGATCACAGTTATCAAATATTCCAAATGATCAGCGAATCTCAAAGCGTTTTTGAGCCTAAGCTCCTTCTCTGTAAAGTGAGCTTTTAAACGACTGAGTCTGTTCTTGTTAAAGTTTTCGGTATCGAGTAGATCAAGATAGGGCTGAATTGCATCCCAAGCAGGGCCGTCGGAACTGCTTGCCCCGCCCGCATGCTGAGCGGCGAATGGCATATTGATCATCGAATGCTCGCGATGGGGAGTGGTTGCACGTTCCCTGAGATGTACCAAATGTAGTAAGACATTGAGGTATGGAACCATCCATGCACGCCGCGTCGCCGTATCGTAGAGGACAATATTCTCCTTTGATCTAGTTTGTAATGTTTCCTTCAGTGAACCAAATCTACCTACTACAGCAGCTTCGCGACTCTCACCGATTCCTAAAGTCGCTCCTGCACCCCCCGTGGCGCCGTGTCCTCCGCCACTTGCAGTTGCGGAAACAGCTGTGATCGTTCTCGCTCTTCCGGCATCTCTTGCGGTGGATTGCAAGATTCGCTGTCGGGGATCTCTATAAGGGAGTGCACAACCACACGGTCCATCTGTTACCGGTGCCTGAAGTTTTACAGCTCCATTTTGAACAGTCCTTGTATCTGTACCCACATGAATATTAATTTTGCCACACCAGCCTAGGAATGCTCGATTACCAGGTCCAATGAAGCTTCTGAGTGTCTCGTCGTTTTTGGCCACTGATCGTACCCTGCTGTCTACCTTATTGGGCAATGATGCAGACGACACATCAGAAGACCGAGTATCGATGAGGTGCCATTGAACTGTGGCATTGGGGCAACTGGCTTCGGCTCTCTCCGTAATGAGCTCCTTAACAGGAATTAAAATGAATTGATAGCCTTGGATAATGAAACCTTTGTAAAGTTCGGTAATAATTGTTGTCCTTGCAAGAGCTATCAAAAGCTCAACTGAAATATCTAGTCCTTTGCCCGACCCTCTTGGCTTGGATGGTGGATAGTCGATTGCAATAACGCTGTTGGTAAAAAGAGCATGCCAACAAGAGCTGTATTTGCAGAAGTTGACCAAAGGTGTCAGCGGAAGAGATTTAACTTCACAGTTTAAACCACCGTCATCGAGGTAAAATTCCATAGACGCCCGAGATTCATGTAACTTCGTGAGGTTCGATGATCTAACGGCTGCTGCCAACCATGCTAGCGTTTGAGCGATATCCGATTGGACTTCTTCCGGGCCTTCAACAGTCACTTTGAGTGTATGTGGCTTGTCAGGTAGAGATTCTGTCTCAAATATATGAACTTTAATACTATCATTGATTTTTGCTACAAGAAGTCAGCATTTCATTCTTAACTTTGACGGAATGAAGAGAATTTACGTACTACTTTCATAGCGACCCCACTGACATTTGGGTCCACTTAATGCGTCTAGCAAATGAGCCCCATGTTTCCAAAATGTTGAAATGTATTCTCCACAGGAGATAGCCTCGGCAAGGTCAGCATTCCCGCTTATTGCAATGATAGTGGATAAGTGTTGTTCAGGAGAAAAATCGCGATCCAATACTTGGAGAAGCTCCCATTCCACATTGTATGTAACGGTAGTAGTTCCACGGGATGATCTCCAAGCCTTGGTTGCTAAGGATGCTAGCTCTGATATAGGTCCCGCTTGATGAAATAGCGGGGGGTCGTTTTCAATTTGATGAATGGTATCTAGATCATGGAGCACATTGATCAGAAACCAACCAAAGATCTCTTCGTCGAAATAGAATCTCTCGAGGTTTTTGGATTCATCTGTTGTTGCATTCCGGACCATCTCGGTCAAAGTTACTTTAGAAGCGAGCATCTGTTTCTCTTGTTCACTAATACTGTTCTGCCTTGAATTCCTCTCGGTAAGTCCCCTTAATGAAAACGAAGATCTTAGCGAGACCCCGGAATCTGAAGAGTTAATTGAAGAGAGACGGCGAGGCGCGAACGAAAAACAATCCGTTGGTTCGACAGGATCCCTCGGAACTATTAAGCATGATAGTCTTTTGTGATGCTCTTTTATGAAAGCAGGTAGAGTATTCTCGGGCTCAATACCCTGAGCTGTCCGCTCAGACCAGATGCGCTCTAGGTCAGAAGAATACTGTAGAAGTTGGACATCGATAGATTTGATAATCTGGTCGTTTTTAAGGTGTACACTGCGTAATATTTTCAGAAGTGATCTGAACATTTCATTGTTGGAAAATGTTTTGGAGATTCGTATCGCTGCAATTTGAATATCGTCGTCAGAGCTTGTGGATGTATGGCAGTTTTTACTTTCAAGCGTTTGGTGTGTTTTGTAGCCGGAAATATATTGTGCAGTTGTTATGCCGGTGTCTTCAATATACTCTGTGAATGAAGTCAGATTTCAATTATTGATACGAGCTTGAAGCGGGGAACGCCTACTTGCTGCATGTTTGAGGTGCCCTGGCAAACAACCGACTAGTTTTCTTATATCATCATAGTCACTGTCGGAAGAGAGCAACGGCTTTGGAATCAACTCTTTTAAAAGTTTTGTGGCTTCTGAGACATGCAAAGAAGGCACCCTGTCCACAGGCAAGTTCTTCTTTTCCATTGTGTTATTTTGTGCAATAAGCGCTTTTGACGAGATCAGGAGGTTTCCGCGGCGATTTCGAGGTGTAATTTCCATTGTTCCTAGTGGGTAGATACTTTTGAGTTGCAAAGGAGAAAGAGTTGTAACCGCAAAACCAAAGGCTTTTGAGATATTTCGCTTGGAAACTTCACTGGGCGACTCATTGAGTGCTGCTAAGAGTCTTTTTGAGGTATAGTATGACTGTTCCGTAGAATCTACGTCATCAACATCATCTACGATTATGAGTGACTCATCCTTGGACTTGGTTATCCATTGGAGTACAGCGTTGGCAGGGCTTTCTTGGTTAGAAAGATCAAGACCGAGATATCTGGCAATCGTTGCAAAAGAGCCAGTCGGGTCTTTGCCGTCGATCCAGAATATCCATTTCATTAAAGCTTTGTCTTGGAGTTTCCGAGCATATTGAAGACATATCTCCGACTTACTAATTCTCGCGTCAGACAATTTCTAGCAAGACAAGGTATATGATGTACTCACCCAATCCCAGGAGGGCCATCTAGAGCGACCTGACCTGTTGTGTTCATCTTTCTTTGTAACGCTTCCAACATCTTATCTCTTCCCACAAAGTCATTGCATGGGACTCTTGGCACCAAGCTTGTTGGGGGGTTTGAGATCGATGGTCCCGGTCGAGGGGTTGGGCGAACGTTGTTGAGATAGTCAAGTAGGCGAGTTAGATCTTTCGCTTGGATGTTGATGAAGTTTACTCGCTCCAAAATATCCTTTTTCTTACCAAACAGTGACAGAAATGCGGTCTTCTGAGAAATTGGTGACCCTGTTGCTACGAATATTCGATTGCTCAAGTATTTCAACTGAAATGTACAGATTTTGATGATACTTGAAACCGATTGCCGACTCTCTGCATTGGCATGTTGTATTGTTTCCTTTTCGACCTATGGTAATTAGCATCTGCCAAAGACAAGTTAGACAACGAGCATGATAGTCTTACATGTCTTTTGATTATGCCTACTAGCCAGCTGACCTTTTCTTTCACTGGAACAAGAGCATCTATGCCGCCTATTAGCTATGTGTCATTTGAGTTACGGTAGATATGAGTTTACTCAGGCCTGGAAAGACACCTGGAACCGTCGTTTTCGATCGCAACTTGTCGATTCTGTTAACAAATAGAGTGCCACTATCAGCCAGTTGAAAGATTGCTTCCATCAACCCAACAATAGCTAATTCTTCAGGACCAATCGACTTCGCTCCGATATCTGATAGACTCATTGCGATAAAAAGGTATAGTATGTGTGTAGACTATGAAACTTCGCTAAGGGATATTGTGCATATGATTTACTAGCCAAGTACAGCTCTCCAGGAAGCTAGGGAATGTGATAAAACGATGTATAGATCGCAATGGCCAGTAGTAGGGAGAATTGGAAGAGAGAACAGAGAAATGTAAGCAAAACATGGCCATTCATATAAACGCCAAAAAGAAACACCCCCGTGGCTTCAACTCTTTTGATGATGACAGTAGCACCAGACTATTCCGCAGAGAATAAAATTGGCCCAGCGATTAGCCCAGCGACGCCCATAAGCGAAACGTGGAAGGTTACAACGCTGATCTGTGATTATATCCCACAACAGCCTTTTCTGGCATTCAAAACGTTGATTGAAGCAGTTAGCTCGGAGGCTTGGAAGGAGATCTTCCACCGCAATTCAAATAGTGAGGGTGTCCACGGCCTACTACTCGGTAATCCGCATGGTTAATCGTTCGTGTTTATCGAATCCATCGACCTATGGATGTCTCGTGTGCATGCAGCTGTGGGCAGTGTGGTTTTGCCATGATGTCACCACCTGAACCACAAATCAATTGAGCCAATGAACGAAAACTATCTCGGTGTGAGAATGCAGCCAACGTTACAGCAAGGTGCTTCGAAAGGCACCTTTTGGATAAAATCGAAAAGGTGGAAATATATCTGCAGGTTGGACTTTCAGCCCTTAATTATGTGATTAAAATTGTCGTATGACATTGATTGCCAGTTGCTTGTGAACGTGAGTGAATGTGAGAAGAAGCATGAAGAAGAAAAAGTGCGAGGAGAGCTCGCGAGACAATCGACTTCCCCGAAGCTAAACCTAAAGTGTTAGTCTCGTGATACACCCAGGTACTAACATTGTGATATAACTACTCATTGTCCAAAAATGTGACAGCTTCATCCGTTACAAAACAATTACATATCTCATCTTCCCTCAAAAGTTTCGAATATAAGCGCGAAACCATGGGTTCTTTGTATTCCGAGTAATTGAGTAAGCAAACTGAGCATATTGAATCCAACAGTATTCAACTTTGGTCCGTCAGCCAAGTTAAATACATCGTCAATGGATTCGAGTGAGGAGAGAAGAATGTACAATGAATCAGGCTCTGTTTAACTTCTGCCAAATGGTATCATCGCAGGATAACCGTGGGTAATTTGTAAACCATAACAGCTAAAAGCTAGTATAATTCTCTAGAATGGGATGGTTAATCATATGATAGGGATTAATTGTATGTATGAGCAAAGAAAATCAGGGTAACAAATTGAAATCGGATAAAGTGGCTAGCAAAAAGCTTCGGACTACATACCGGAGTATAAAGTAAGTGCCAATGGACTACGTGAGCTACACTATCTTCGCACTGGGAAGAATGAAGATAAGGATACGTTCTTTCTCCTTCAGTTTTCGGGGGAAGGAATATATCGGTAGATGCCATTTCTTGTGTGATCGGAATCGTACAATTACTCCAAACTTTCTTTCAACTTAAGCATAACTAGGTTCCTTGCAATTGATCTAAGTGTCTCGATGATTTTTATCACTAAGCATGCGTGGACTAAATTCATAGATTTTAATTTTGTCATCTCTTGAGTCTGTCTATATCTGACAAATGAGTCTCAGTAGAATGTCAAACGAGCGAGAAGGAGATGTCAAAAGAGTGGAACTCATCCTTTCCCCTGTGCTCTCTCGCTCTCTCACCTCGACTAAATCTAGCCTGTAACTATTCGTAATGATCTCAGAAAACAAAAGTACCCCCTGGGCTCAAATCAACGCAAATATTTAGATTGGCGACAAAGACCCATAGTACAACTATCATCGAACCAACCCAGACGAAGATCATCCATCCACCAAAGTTCTGGCTTACCAGCAACCACAACATTCACAAAGAAATAAGTCAAATCCCTGAAACTAGAATCTAAATCAACGCGGGTCAAGACGCACGTTGAAATTTCAGAACAAGCTGGAACATTGACATCTTGTCGAGTGACTTGAGAAGTCTGTCCAGAAGCAATATCGTAACTGTATCCAGTAAATATGAAATCGCATGCAGGGCCTGTGGAATCACAACCTAGAGATGCTCCATAGAGATTGAAGTTGAAACAACCAGTGTGATCTTCGTCGCCACTGCCTATTTGGCCCGAGAAGCCATATTCTGCGGTATTTGGTCCTGTTTCTCTGTTTGATGTATCTACAGTTGAATCTGGTATGAACTCCAACAGTAAAGGTGGCGAAGAAGGAAGGTTCGGCAGCCGTTTTGGTGGTGGAACGACCGTAAAGCCATCTGAAAAAAGAAACTGGTGGTACGGATTGAATAATGGCTTTGATTGCACATTGATGTCACTGGCGTTGGAGACAGATAATGGCGGTACGTCATCGAACTGGAGAATATTCCATTAGTTACTGATCAATGAAAAATGTTATGAGGTATCTAGGCCTCGAACATGATCTCAAATTCAAAGCCAACTTTGGACATCAAAAAGTACTATATCGTATAGAACTCTGAAAATCAAAGGAGGTAAGTGAAAACTTACAGTCAATACAAAATCTCCTTGCTCTCCACAATTGGAGGATGTGGCTGAGGCTGCCGCACTAGTTGTAGCTGATGTTGAATTGGGAAAAGTGACAAAACTTGATCGTAGAGTCACTGAAGTAAAGCTGGACATCGAAGTAGCGCTGCCTAATGGAATCAAGCTAGACATTGACGTCGAGCCTGGCAATGAACTCGAACCTGTGATCGAAGTAGCCTTAGAAAACAAAATCGAATTGGAGGTCGAAGTGGAATCGAACAATGGAATCGAGCTGGGCATCGAAATTAAGCTGGTCATCGAAGTTGGGCCAAATAATGGAAACGATTTGGTTGAAGGAGTAGTGTTAGATACCGAGATCGAGCTGGTGTCCAACGACGGAATCAAACTGGAGACTGAAGTAGGACCAGAGAGTGCAAGTGATTTGGTTGTTGACGTAGAGGTGTACAATGGAATCAATGTAGTTATTGAAGTAGCACTATATACGCTGGGCATTGATGTGGCACTAGACAATGGATTGACCGAATTTATTAGATTAGCAGAAACGAGCACTGAAGTAGAAGGGATGGACATCAAAGATTGATCCGAGGCTTTGAACCCTCCCGCGGCTGTCAAAGTGGTCAAACTTCCTAGTGTGAAGGATGTATAGAGATTGAAAGACGACAATTCAGATGACGTGGCTGCCGTTATATTCCATCCTCCAGCAGCAGAAGGAATGCCAGTATATATTCTACGCGAAGGCTCAACGCTACTTGATACAGTAGACGATGAAGCTGAAGTGACTGAGACGATAGATCCTGGACCTTGGGCACTACTTGGGTTCAAGGACGACTGAATTGAAGATACGACAGATGACTTTGAAACGACCGATGAGGATGCGCCTGTTCCAGCAGGAAAAACAGAGTTGGGAATCGATTTTGAAGGAACAGTCGTTGCTGTCGATACGAAAGTAGAAGAGTCACCGGCTCCAGAAGAGAAGCTGGAGACACTGCTGGTTTCGACGACAGATGACTTTGAAACGACCAATGAGGTTGGGCCTGTTCCGATAGGAAAAATGGAATTGGGAATCGACTTTGAAGGAATAGTCGTTGCTGTTGACAGGGTAGTAGATAAGTTACGGGCTACAGAATAGAGACTGGGAATACTGCCGGTTCCGACGACAGAATTTGAAGTAACTGAACCTTTGTAGGATCCTGACGCAGGTTCCGATCCGGAAACAGCCGAGCTCCCTGTTCCAGTAGAATGAGAAGAGGAACTGGGAATCGGGTTTAAAGAAACAATCGTTGCAGTCGACAGAATCACGGATTTACTGCTGACCGCTGGCTCACTGCTTGATGATGGCGGTGGAGGAGATGGAAGAGTTGGCTGAGAAATGATTGTTGCAGTCGATATAACTGCAGATTCACTGCTAGATACCGTATGAGGAAGCGTTGACAGGGGGAAAACCGTTGCAGTCGATATAACTACAGACTCACTGCTAGATAACGGAGAAGGACGAAGTGTTGAAAGAGGAACAACTGTTGTAGTCGATATAACCACAGGTTCGCTGCTAGATTTTGGAGGAGGAAGAGTCGACAGAGGGATAACCGTTACCTTGGATAAGACGACAGGTTGACTACTAGACGCGGGTGGCGGTGGCGGAGGAGGAGGTAGAGTTGACAGAGGTACAACTGTAATAGCGCTTGTAACCACGACGAACGATTGAGTTGGATTCGTTGGAGTTTGTCCATTCAACCAGCTAGTTGTGCCGCTGATCACTATGAATGCGGGAACTTTGCTGGACGTCTGAGTGGTTTCAATTGTTCCGGTTGGGATTGATGATTGTAAGAACGGAGTTGTAGCAATGGGAGGCGCAACATAGATAGTTGTACCGGTAGGGATCGTAAAGATCTGTGCCTCGGGATTACCAGTTGTGTAGTGAGCGACGGTATTGGATATCGCAGATATCTCAAGATTGGCACTACTGGAATCGCAGGGAAGGTAGACAGTGACGGGAGGTTCGATGGTAGAGACAGTAGAGCCTTGGGGAGCTGCACCAGCAGTCGCACATATGGCCCATATCGCGACAAGGAAATGTAAAATCATTTTTGATATTTTCTGTAATATGACTCTAAAGCTGTGAAGTTATGGTTGAAAGAACGACTGAAGGAAAGTTGTTGTTGTTGTGAGAAGAAAGGTGGAGTGGTAAATAAATTATAGTTTACCTCTGCGCCTTTTGTTTGTTGAGATAATTGCCTATGGTGAATTTTCAGATGCCATCGATACACCCCTCTTAGAAATTCCCAATTTAACAAATCAGATTCGGGATATCAACATCTCTAAAAGAGTCTTTTCTGAGTTCAGCAAACTCATTATAGGAATGTCCTTCATGTAGTCTCGTCGAGTAGTTCGACAATCAAAGGCTCTTTGGTCTCAAGACACTAATAACTAACTCTGGCGACAGCAGAGTCTTCTTGGGCCCAGCGAACCCATCATATCTGCCGCTGCACTGGTGGCAGAAAAGCCATTGGATCCAGCAAACCCATCATATCAAAGTTCCCCAAGCCATTCAACAAAAAAAGCTCCATTTGATCTCCAACCTCTAATAATCAAATCTTGCGAAGACTATCCTTTTTCCTCGACCCAGAGAAATCCATCATACCACATCCATCAGACAACAAAACATTCGAACCCTCAAACATTGCCATGCAGATAGATATTGCACCTATCTGAATCTCAATTCACTCTGTTCATCATCAGTGAGAATGAGTATCAGAAGCTTTTAGATCTGGCACAAGAAGGAACCTCCAGATGAGTGAACATCCGACGTTGTATTCCTACCTAAAGATTAGACTCTGCAACTGGAACGCCTCTGGCGAGAATTTTCGGCTCACTTGTTGGGAGTTTCAACTTTCATGTTCGTGAGACTTTTCGCGAGTAGCGATTCCAATGGCTTGGACCGACACTCAAATGCAGAGGAGAAGTCTCTCCATGGCTCTGTGGGGGACTCGGGTATGGAATCTAAGAGTCCCAGTAGGAATTAGGAGGGGACAAACCTGTACCGGTACCTTTAATCACTAATCCGTTATCTCAAGTGAGACTGAGGAGAAAGATGTACACTGAAGTGAAGTTCAACTCATTGATGACGATTAAAGACGTAGTTCTGATGCTCAATTCCTCCCCTGGAATTACCCATGATACAATTTCCTCCTTCACATTAGAATGAAAGTTGAAGTGGTTAAACTGCTGGACCACCCACCTCACTGATTGATAACCTTATCCTTCACACATCCAAACAAAAAGAATCCTGAACTGATATGCAAGATACCGAGATCTTAACTGGGAAGTCCGTGACGAATTGCCCTACTCTTCTACCCTCACCATACCTCTTCTCTTAGCCTTCCTTCATCCAGAGTATTAAAAAGAAAATATACTACCACCAGATCCATCAATTGTACTGATTTACCATCAACTCCAAGTCTTTCCTATCCGCCAATCTTCCTTTGATACGGTCCTCAAGCATACCTAAGCATCAGCATCAGCAATACATCCCATCTCATCCCATTTCATCCCATCACAATAACCTCCACCCCCTTCCCTTCCACCTATAATCCAATCCAACATCTCCAACATCTCCAACATCAACCCTCAAAACGTCAACCGAAACATCCATCTCATTTCCCAGCTCTACTCTCTATCTCTTCACATCCACAGATTCCATACATCCCACATATCCATACCGATATTTCATCCCTCCTCATTTTCCATCAAGTACGCATAACCGCCACAATAACCTTACTGTACAGCACTAGCCACATCCTCTCATATCTCCCTTACCAATACGATAAAATCCATCGCCTACCGAAACCAACTCCAAACACTCTCCGTTTCATTACTCCTCTCATTCATTTTCATTTCATCATATCCAAGCATCTCATCCAAAGCATTTCATCTAATACATCCCATCCCAACCAAAACGCCACTACCCTACAGTGGCACTACAGTACCTACCACACCCTTACCCAATTTATCTTTTCATCTCTTCATCTCTTCATCTCTTCATCATTTCATCTCTCCCTCTCATCGCCACAAATCTAAAATAGAATTTAAGCATCCATATGCATATGCACATCATCAAACCTTCTACCACCCCCATCCATCCTACCATTCCACATTTACCACCCATCAAACCATCCATCAAACCCTCCAATCCTACCACCCACCCGTCAAACCTATTACCTCCCAAAAAGCCCAACCCTCAAATCCCACCATATAATTTTACCGTACAAGCCATCATAACCACCTCGTCCATCTAATCTACAACACATAACATAACACAAGATATATAATACACCTAGATATATAATACACCTAGGTAGGTAGTACCAAAACAATTTCAATTCAATTCAATTCATTACAGTACATTCTTTGCTCTACACCACACCACACCCCAACCTAAAATATGATGCCGGTATCATCTTTCCCATTGTGAATTTGTGACATATCAAGACCGACTTGTACATGATCAGATGATTCATCTACCCATCCATCCATCTATCAACCCCAAGGTACGACGAGTACAATGATTGAAATATGCCATATCCATGCCTATCATAGCTCTATCTCCATCACCATCCCCATCACCATCTCCATCTCTACCTCCCCAAAAAGAAAAGTAAAAAAAAAGTACAACGAAACGAGGGAAGGAAAAGGAAACAAAACACCTCTCCTTTCCTTCCTTTCCTTTCCTTTCCCTTTCCCTTTCCCCTCCTTTCCTTTCTATACCCCATACAGCCCCGGGCTCACACTCCATTGCCTTACCTACCTGCCCGCCTATATATTAATGATTTAAAAACCGTATCTTCATCCGCTGCAATGCTTTCCCTAAAGAAAGCCTCTCCTATTCATAACACAACATTCAAACATCTTGTAACTTGTAACTTGTGACTTGTAAACCAAACCCCAACAAGATATCTATACAACAAAATCACGTCTCGAATGGTGTCTCCTAAGCTTTCCACCCTTCCCGCCCTTAGCCGCATTGGAATTTCCATTATTTCCTCCTTGACCCTTATTTTGACCCTGATTCTGACCCTGATTCTGGTTCTGATTCTGACCTTGACCCTTAGCCGACGAACTCGCCGCTGCCGAATTATTCGGGCCAGCCGCCGCCGCACTAGCAGCCGCTGCAGCCGCCGCCTTTCCACCCGATCCACTATCTGAAGCCGCATTTGCAGTTTTGCCGTTGCCGGTTACGACGAATTTTGTACAGTCGTCCGCGGTGCCGCGTTGAGCTACAGGCATGATGACAGGTTGATGATTGGAAGACGAAGCCATGGTGCATACGCGATAGTTTCCAGCTGGGAGACCACCGGTTACGACGGCGGAGAGGAGTCCGTTTCCATTTCCTGCGTCGTTGATGCCTTTGAAGAAGGCAAATTGAGTGGCGTCGAGGGCTTTGGAGGGGTTCAAGGATTTACCTAGATCTTGGACGGTAACGTGCGTGTGACCTACTACTTTTCCACCGGAGAGATCTTGGGGTGCGGCAAAGTAGGTTGAGTCGGCGTTGGTGAAGGATCCGGCGACGATGTTGGACATTTGGACGGTGATGTTGAAAGTTTTGTCTGATGCGATGCCTTTTCCACCCGTTGGAGGATTGAGAATGGTTGAAGAGACCATGGCGCTTTTGGAGGGAAGTTTTCCCATTGCTATTCATCATTAGATATGTATTGAGCAAGAAAGCGAACATTCATAACTTACGGATACCGTTACATGATCCCCCGGTGACTTGCAGACCATTTGTCAAAGTTGTACCAGAACAAAAGTTGATAAAGTTATTCTTCGAAGTTGCTGATTTTGCTTGTCCAGCTTCCGCCGCACCAATCTCTTTTGAACCATCGGCAAATGAACCACTCTGAACAGCATTTTGTGATAAGGTAAGGGATGCATCATTGCCACCAGAAGAGGAACCACCGTTATTGTTGTTCCCGTTATTGTTGTTCCCGTTATTGTTGTTCCCATTTTGTGGTGATGGGATTGCCGATACAACACCCATCAAGACAACTGCGCTTGCAATTTTGCTGAAATACATCGTTTCGATTTAAAATTTGAAGTTAAAAATTGTACAAGATATTGAAGTATGAATGAAGACCGTCGAGGCGTGGGGGTCGTGAAATTAGATGCACGATCAACGTGATCTACTTGACTGGCAAGATGAAATATAAACTGAACAAAAAGAGGGAAACTGTAAAAGAGAGGAATCCACCAAATGAATTTGAGCTGAGAAGAGGAGAAGAGAATGCTTTGGGATGAGGTTGAAAGAAAAGAAGACGACCGACTGTACTTATTCTTATTCCTTGGCACTGTGGCATCTGTAATACTAGTGTATATTCAAGTGGGCTTGTAAAAGGATAGACAGGAGTGAAATAATCCTGCTGCACACTGGCAATGGAGATCCCGTTGTTGCATAAGAAGCTGTGAAACTAGACATGAGATCAAATTTGTTGCAGCGTCTGGAGTACCTGTCATCATCTGAAAAGAGAGAAGCGAGCAGGTAGAGATATCAGACGGATCTTCTAATTTTGATCTAATTCGATCTAATTCGATCTTAACTAGGTCATTAAGATGGACTAGCTTAGTTGAAATGGGATGAAATGTATGATATGTAGCTACGGAGATTATTGTGTGAGTAGGGTTGGATTGGAAACCGTTGATGTCTGGAGTGCATGGGTGATAAAACTTCGCCAACCCTTCAATAACCATGAAAACTTCAGCCTACTGGCAAAATTTGAGTTCTTGTGATGGTTTCAATAATTCAACCCATTAACCTTACTACATATAATGCTGATGATAGCAATAATGATTTGGAATTGAAATGTATGTGATGTCATTCGAAAGAAGAATGAAGGGGGTAAGGGAAGGGAAAGGAAGGGGGGTTAATTAAGTGAAGAATGATTTTGGGGTTATGATAAGCTTAAACGAGAAGTGGATTTTTTAATATAGGTAAGGTTGATTGGCCTTTATTAGAATACTCTCTGGACACAACATTCATTTACGATACAATCTTCTATTCTATTCAACTTTTTATTTGATAATAAATAGAAGAGATTATTTTTTATTACATTACAATAATAACTAAACCAAAGCACCAACATCCCAACAATCCCAGCATCCCAATCATCATAAACCAAGACTCCACAGACAGGCAGGAAGGATATCAGATGAAGGTTCCGACCAGGCCAAGCCCTATTGAGGATACCGGTACTACTGGATTGAGCTCTTCCAGCTTCTTACATCCGAGCACATCTTCGATGAGAGTTTCATACTAGGGATCATAAAAGATTAGATAGAAGTATCAGATTGATTAATTTGAAGTAAGGTTAAACCTTGAATCGACGACAACGGTCATTATATTTTACCAGGAAGCTAGCTGAAGGGGGTTGATATCGGTATTGGCAGCAAGACTTGCTTAGTATACACCACATCACAAAGTACAATACCACAGACATAACTCCAATGTGTGCACCGTACTTTCTAACACTTCCATCAATCAATCCATATCCAACATCATCTAGAGCAAAAACCCAGCATTCGCCAGCCTGTTGATACCAATTCTATCTACACACACAGTACGTCTAATGAAAAATATTGCCATCTCCATTACAAAACATACTGAGTACAGTACATTTCTTCCAGTCTCCAAAACTCCCATTTGGAATCATTCCCCCAAGAATATTTCCCAATCAGGAACGTTATAGAATGTTCCATTGCTAAACATCAGATTTTCTACGATTTTTACTACAATAGTGTAGTAAGTACCGTTTGTGGATAATAGAAGGCTGGCTGGCACCTGCCATCCGAAATATCACAATTTTCATTTAGTGCTTGCTGCCTGTCCTCAGGTAGGCTGTCTCAGATGGTGTTACAGAGAATCTGATGAGGTTCCACTGATCTCCAGGATAATAGAGCCTAGCGTCTTCAGACTCTTCACCATCATTTCCTTATTTCCCAGTTTTTTATTTTTTTAAAGCATATACTAGTTTGTCTTGGACTTTTGGGACGATACAGTACTCACTCATCCTAGGTATGTTCTGTAAGCAATAAGCAGTGAGCACAGATATCGTAGAGTGGGTTCGGATGACAGTGACAGACTGACAGTGTTGGTTTTTGGGTAGACAGTCTTCAACGTCCGTGATCGTCTGAAGCGTTCGATGTTGAAAATTCTTTATTGATATTTGATTTTGATTTAGGAAGGTATGCCAAATTCTTGTGCGCTAGTCTTGTTATATTGAGGTTGGCTCGAGGCTCCCTCCATCTGTGATATTCCTCTGGAAACCTCTTTAATGGTAAGTTTGCTCTTTTCTTCACCCTTAACATCATCGACCGAGTGAAATCACCACATCACACTTCACACTTCACGCTTCACATGCTCACCATCTGCGCCATCGGTGTCTCCAAAAAAACAAAATAGCCATAAACACCATGAAACTATAATCTATCTGCCTTTCCCCGACCGTAGTATGGCTCTATCGCAAATTGTGAAAGTCGTACTTCCCTGTGCCATATACAGATGAAAAGAACCAATGCAATGCCAATGCAATACAATCCAAGCTAATCAATCATCAATGAAATAAATTTCTGATACAGGGCAAGTTGGACATGTACTCGGAAGATTACCATATCATCAACCCGCGTGCGTGTCTTATAATTTCCCGCAAACTTGTTACCTCGAACTTGTGCCTCGAACTTGTGCCATGCCTCGAACTACGAAGCACCAGGATAGGACAGGGCCACAGTACAGCTTGTGTCCATGATCATTTGAAAGAAACAATGCCAAAACCCCCAAATGGTATGGTGGAAATAAATAGGACGTCGTTGCTCATGCTGTGAGTTTTGTTTCAATGGATAGATGGATGAACTATGATCTGGGTATTGCGTTGGGTTGGTTGGGGTTCAAAGTAGAATTTATGGCAAATTCGCGCGATGCGATCGATGTTAAGAGGAAGAGAGGAAGAGAGGAAGAGGGAAGAGAAAAGAGAGAATGCCATTTACTATAGATAGTAGATACTTCTGCGGTGTTCAAACTATTACTCCTAGATAGTGTGTGTCTTAAACCAATATAAGATGTGGTAAACGAGTGACACCACACCTAACATGCCATGCCCGAAGGATTCCCGATAGTTGTACAACGGAACAGGTCCAAGATGGATGCTGAGACATTGAGATGGTGGGTGAGATGGTGAGCATGCATATACTCGTACAAGTATTGGCAAAGTCCCTGAAAGTCATGTTGATGTCGAGTAATAAAAAGTCTTACCATCCTGAATACCAATATTACTTTGACTATGGTAGTAATGAGGGTTAGAAATAGAGATAGAAATATACTCACAAGATATCAGACAAGACAGATCAAAGTTTAGAAAAGAAATATTGTATCGGTCTGTACCTGTCTGTATCTATTAACCTTATACCTTTGGATTTCGGACATTTACGATTCCGAATATGGTGGTGAGAAATGTGTTATGATGATTATCTATACTCGTATGCCTAAGCCGGAATATCTATCATGATCATTGATCTCACTTCATTCTCATCTCATCTCATCTCATCGTATTGAGGCTCAATATATATGAGGGGGCACCCAGATTGTGTACAACCTATTTTTCTGCAGCGTCGCTCGCTCTTCCAAGACATATGGATATCCATTCTGTAGTTCATACCTACCTACTTGTACCGGTATAAATTACTATATGAATACGAGTATAGTAAATCATCAGAAAAGTATTGTAGTCTTGAGAACAATATTAAGGAAACAGTGAAAGGTAAGAAAGAGTTATACAAAGGAAGGAAGGGTAGGTATTATCCGATCGGATCTCATAGTACAGGTTACATTGTCTACTGCTTTTCTCCCGTTTCTTTCGTTTGACAGGCTCAATACACCAGTAGCTAAGATGATATTATAATATAATGGCTTATTTACCTAGTGAACTTGTGGCACAGCACTGATATTTTAATAATACAAATCAGTTGTCTTCTCTTCTCTTCTCTTCTCTTTAAATTCACAAAACTCACTCGCATCCCACTTTTCTCTTTTCTCCTGGAGAAATAATATATTTATTTTTTTGGTACCTACCTGTAACTCTCATCTACAGACGATCTTTTTATATCAAGAAATTGTATAAATTCTTTTTTATCTTCCTCTTCCTCCTCCTCTTCGACTTTCACAGCTTTGTTGAGATATACAGTATATCTTTTTACTTTTACAAATACAAGAAATATATTGATACATTGCGAAGAACTTACTCCAATCGACTCAATCAAAAGTACCCAATAACTCCAGTATGCAAGCATCTCACTCATAAATCCATTATACCTACAATCGACAACTTTATTAACGAAATAACAAGCACAGTACAGTACAATACAATTCAATACAATACAATACAGTAGTAAATATGTCATCTCCAGAACCAAGAGTTGTGAAGCGACCAAGTAAGATGTGTTTTTATTTGAGTTTCTCTCTTTCTCTTCAATCAATTTCCTTCCCGCATCATTCAGCGGGTCGCGCCGCCCTAGAGCCAGAAAACTTTTTCAACCAACTTGTTGAAACCCATCATAATTTTATTACTTCCTACTTCCACAAATAATTGTACCATTTATCAATTACTTCTATTACAACAATAGATAATTCCCCAATATCTACGAAGCATTCAACAACTCTTCTATCATCCACTGACATTCAATCACAATGGCAGGAACTCAATCTGAACCTCCTCCAAGCCTTCCTCAAGTTATTGCTGAACAACATGTTCCAATCCCTTCCACCGATAAAGATTCACAAAGATTGATCGTGGTTCTATCCAATGCCAGTCTCGAAACTTACAAGCAATCTTCCGGTGGTGGAAGACCTGGTGCGCGTCCCGCCGAGGAAAAATACTCTCTTCTCAACAGTGATGAACACATTGGTATCATGCGCAAGATGAACCGAGATATCAGTGATGCCCGACCTGATATTACACATCAGGTTCGTATAAAATCAAGATAATGGCCAGTCACTCCCATACTGACCTATCGCAGTGTCTTCTGACCCTTCTCGATTCACCGATCAACAAGGCTGGAAGGCTCCAAATCTATATCCATACAGCCAAGGGAGTTCTCATCGAGGTCAGCCCAACGGTCCGAATTCCACGTACCTTTAAGCGTTTTGCCGGTCTTATGGTTCAACTCTTACATCGACTTTCTATCCGATCAGTCAACTCCCAAGAAAAACTTCTCAAGGTTATTGCGAACCCGATCACCGATCACCTACCTCCGAATTGCCGAAAAGTTACATTGAGTTTCGAATCAGAATTGGTTCGTGTTCGGGATTATGTGGAGACATTGAAGCCGAAGGAGAGCATTTGTGTGTTTGTTGGCGCCATGGCAAAAGGATCAGACAACTTTGCAGATGAGCTAGTGGATGAGAAGATCTCTATTAGTAACTACAGTCTTTCTGCAAGTGTGGCATGCAGCAAATTTTGCCACGCTGCAGAGGATGCATGGGATGTTATTTAGACTACCACGTTGTCTTCACATCCCGCAAGGATCACCGACGAACACATTCGACAACATACGAACGGATGAACGGAGGAGAACGACCGCAGGGTTATGAATGGTATGAGATAATGAGCATATGGGATTCGGTCGATCTGAAAAGGTGAAAGCGGGACTATTAAGCAGATTCAACGATACTAACATCGTTCGATATGCTTATGGTCGCCGGGCTTGGGTGTCTGTGTGCTCTGTCTCTGTTTTTACAACCAAAACATCAGGCGTTCAACATCAGATCCAAGACGCTTTAGTCGTCTTCGTGGACCACTTCAACTTGGTCCACATCTCTTTTTGTCTTTTTTCAGTCTTTTGACATCCACTCTGAAGCTTAGTAGCTAATGCACACCGGATGACGATAAGTATTCCCCCTTTTCAGCATACATACTTTTTGGCGCAGGATCTTGCATTCAGCTTTCTCCCTCGGGTTAGTTAAACTGCAAGCAGCCGAATTGGCATGGGAAACGGGTTCATGTTGCTAGGTGGCAGACACTACCGCGAGTCATTCGATGACAGCAGATAGCTTTATGTATAAAAATACTATACTGGTCAATAATGAAAAGGGAAATTTTCCACGAGTTCAATTATATCGTATCTGAATAGTGCGTGAAAGCTAATCCACCAGTCGTATGTATGTGTATGCCCCATTCTTCTTGTGAACCACCCACCCTACCTTGCGAACGCCGAACGAACGGCCAAGAATCGATTTTTGCATGATTGATCAAGAATGGGATAACAGAGAACAACAAACAGTTTTTTTTTTCCATGCAGGTCTAGATGCAGGTCTGTACAGTTGAGATGAAAATTGGAAAGAAACTACTAGGTAGGTACAAGATCTCTATTTAATAAAAATCTAAATCCAAATCCAAATCCAATCCAATTCAATCCTCGTTCGTATATGTAACATTGTACAAGTACATTGTACAAGTATATGTATGTGTATGTGTATGTGTATGTATATGTAGGTAGGTAGGCATTTTCTCGGTCGCCTTGAGTTGATATGATGATAGTTATCAGTGTCAGTGAAATACATTATGCCAGATAGCCAGATAGCCTATGTTGGAACTTTGGAAGAAAATATTGAATGTATTGTAAGGTCAAGGTTAAGGTTACTGTACGTACTGTATTTACAAATTTACTGGTGATGGTGATGGTGATGGTGATGGCGGTGGTTGGGGTTAGTTGGGGTTGGGGTTGGGGTTGGAGTTATGTAATGTATAGATGGGTAGTGTGGTAGAGGTAGTGAGTGTGTAGGTGGAGGTGTAGCTGGATGTCCAAACCAATCGCCGTTTTGAGGCGAGGTGGAGGTGGATGTGAAAAAGGAAAGGGAAAATCATGTTTTTGGTTGGTTAATTGGTTCCTTTCAATACCTTACCCGTTCCCTTCCTATGCTTCCCTTCCCCCCCCTGTTCCAAGTATGTATCCATCTCCGCATGGCCATTGCCACGTCTCGCGAATTGAATTGAAAAGGGAAAAAAAAAGAAAGGCATGGGATCATTGGATGGGGAGGCATGGGAGGTAGCTTGGAAAGTTGGAAACGGGTAGGAAATGGTAAGCTGAACTTGAACTTGAACTTGAACTTGAACTTGAACTTGAACTAACTTGAACGGTAGAAAGAATGTAGGAATGGTAAGGAACGGTACGGTAGGATGTAGGAAAGTAGGAACACGGCAGAAGTGCAGAATCGTGCAGTTGTGATTAATCTGATAGATGGATGGATGGATGGATGGATGGCTGAACTTGGATGGCTGAACTTGGAAGTCTGAATGAAAGGCTGAAGGTGAAATGTATTTCAGAAATGTGAAATGTGATTATATGTACTGTACCAATACTACTTTGAATTAAATCGAATCGAATGGGAAGGGAAGGGAAGGGAAATACTGTACGAGTTATTGCAATTGGAAGTGAGGATTGGAAGTTGAGGTTTGCAAGCTAGTTCGCCTAGGTGGGTTGGGCTCGTTTTGTGGCTTTGATAGGTTTTTGGGAGGTTTAGCTATGAGAAGGTAGGTACAGTAGGTAGCTATGTGAGATTTGGGTAGGTATATGATATAAGTTTACCTACTTGCTATATTTATTGGTCGGATTGGATCGTATTTTATACAGGTTTGAAGTGAAGAAGGATATCTGAGGAGTGGCGAAGAAAAGAGTGTAAGGTTACTGTAATGGATTTTAAATATTTGAGGATAGGGCGTCAGAAAAAGTGGTGAGGTGGGTTGGTGTCGATTTGATGTTGGATGGGGTCAGTGATAGGTGATTGGGGTTGATGATGGGATGAGGCGACAAACTGGACTGGACTGGACTTGGACCTGGACAACTGGCAGTTAAGGATCCACGATTTGGTGGTTGGTTGGTTGGTTGGTCGGTTGTAATAGTAATGCTTTGCTTGGGGAGAGGAAAATACGGTAAATGTTATTATGTTGTATGCATTTGATTTTGATCTTGATTTACAGTTATCAAATCATGATTTGTATAATCTGATATAATAATAGATGTACTCGAGTACCGGTAGTACAATCACACTCAGGTACCGGTATATATATCGATAAGGAAACCATGGAAATACCGTACCTGTCACTTTTGTTTATCTTTATTTAAATTCTTATTTCTGTACAGAGTTTCTTACAGTACGATAAATACGAATTTACGAACATCTTTTATACAAGAATCTGAAAATTCATAATTATAGACGGACCCATCTTTTTGAAAGAGGGGGAGGTTTCAAGCTAGAGTATCTAGAGGCTAGAGTAGAGTAGAGAAACTACCTACTTCTTTACCGCTACCGCGTTTTCCCAGCCTGCCCTTCCTACTCCTGCCTTCTTCCGAGAAATTCGTGGATACGGAGAGACGGATATCGACACTACATTGTGGATTGAGGGATTTGTGGAGTGGGATTTGTGGATTCGACTTTGGATTTTGAGAGTTTGGCATAGGTTCGGACGAGTGAGCAAGCATTGCTCAGGCGAGCGGGCAAAGGTGTTGGGGTTTGGGTCTGAATTGGAATTGAGTTTGGGGTTGAATGCCGGGAATCGATTTTGGTGCCTCTCTCTCACTCTGTCTCTCTTGCTTTTGGGGAGTGATTAGGGTTTCTGGATCCTAGAGGACTTTTCGCGGTGCAGATTGATGCGGAGTTGGATGGATGGAGATTTGATCTGACGGTTACAGCTTACAACTGACGATTACAACTGACGATTACAACAATTACAACGAATACAACAAACGATTGAGGGAACTTCATTGCTGGAGTGTTTCATATTTTGGGACTTGCAGTGTATGCAGCATGCACTTTGTCCATTCCATTGCACAGTGCACACGACTGTCTTCTTCATCTGATCTGACCGCCTTTATACGTTTATATCCACAACTACATAGGTAGCTCTGCAGATTGCCTGCATAGTAAGCAGGCTTATGGAAAGGATCCAAGGAAGCTCGTCGTCATTGGATGTTCTTTGGCTTTCCTTGATTGTTTTGGGAAGCTTGAGAAGGGTCGGAAAGGTTTGAAAGGGGTATATACATACGGGGTACATTGCGTTCATCGTTTGCCGTTTATATTCACCGTTCACATTCACCGTTCATTTCGTTCACGCCACTATAATTCGAATCATTCATACATCTCTACAAATTTACAACATACATACATACACATCATTTCGACTTTCGACAAGTCCAAAAATTATACATTATACATTACATATTACATATTACATATTACATATTACATTTCCACATCCACACATCCAAAATTCAAAGACAAAACCGAAATAGAAAACCGAAATAGAAAACCGAAATACGAGATCAAAATACATTACACGCCCTACCCGAAAATGACTTCCCGTGGCAGAGAACCCCCAACAATAGTTACAGCCGGCACCGAAAAGGAAGCCCGTCGTGTTCTCGAATGGCAAGAAGACGTTGCTCGAAGCACAGCTGGTAGTTCGACTACACCTTCTTCCGACGAAGCATATCGAGCGGTGGCTCCAAGTCACGTTTCTCGAGCTCCAGCAAGAACGCAAATCTCACATGCTCCTCCACCTCAATCTCAATCTCAAGCTATAGACCACCCACCGTTCCGAAGAGCAGAAACATTTCCGAGGGTCATGAGGAGGGATACTTATCAAGGGCAGAGTCATGCTAGTACCCAAGTTAGTGTGAGGAGAGATATGAGTCGAGATGATGAACAAACGGTCTACGTAGACGAAGTAGAAAAACAAGATCAAGAAAAGGAAAAGGAGAAAAATGGTGGGATCTTCGGAATGACGAATAAAGCTCTCGTGGGTACATTTCTCGGAGCAGCTGCTGGCGCGGCTTTCGCATACGCAATGGTCAAGAGCGAAGACCCCGCATACGAACTCGAACCGGAATCAAAAACCATGCCGGGTCTCAGAAGAAGTTATACCACTGGTCATGCAGAGACTGTGGCGAGTAGTCGAGGCGGCTCCTCCGTAGGAGGAACAGGAGCAGGAGCTGGTCCAGAACGCCGATATCGCGTCATCGAAGCCCCCATGCCACCTCCTGCCTCTAGCTACACCCGCATCCAACGCGACCGCGAACGCGAACGAGAAGGTGTCCTCAGTCCCATCGAAGAACGTAGTTACTACAGCTCTGTCGCGCCTTCACACACGGGCACAAAAATCCGCACTAGAAGTGTGGCAGAGCAGGGAGAGGGCTCAAATGCAGGTACGGCGAGACCTCCGACCGCTATCAATATGCGGGATAAACCGCAAAGCATCGCGCCCTCGAGGTTAAGTGAGAAACAAAGTACCGTCAAGGCGGTAAGTCGCGCTCCGACGATGGTTTCCCGAGCTCCGACTCAACAGGCCAAAACGCAGGTCAGTGTCCGGGATTCCGAGTTTGAATATGGAGGTGCTCCGACGCAGGTTTCGGCGGCTCCGTCGAGATATGCACCGCGGGATGCAGGTGCCGATGCGAAAAGTCAAATTTCGCATTCGCATACCACGATTAAATTCTCGCCGTCCAAGGTGGGATCGAGAGCCCCATCGCATCTGGGGGTTGGTGAGAGGGAAAGAGAAAGAATTCCTCGTTCGGAAGCGACGTGGGAACGTGATGATGTTAGTGTGTCGGCAGTTAGTGAGAGGAGTCGTGTGACTGGGGCGAGAGATGTTCCGTTGCCGGCTAGTACGGTGGTTAGTGCTAGGTATGGGGGTGGGTATCGGGAACAGGGGGCGGGGTATACGCATGTTGGGGATGGGGGGAGAGATGGGGGGAGGGAGAGAGAGAGGGAAAGAGAGAGGGAGAGGGAGAGAGATGCGGATAGGAATAGGATGGAGAAGATGGATAAGATGGATCGGAAAAGTCATATTGGGAGGGGTGTGGATGAAGATGGGAAAAGCTATTTTAATCCTAGGGGTGCGATGAGTGTGGCGCCTAGTGATAGCGTTAGTAGTGTGGGGAGTAAGAGGGAGAGAATTGAAAGGTTGAGGGGGAGAATGGAGAGGGATTTGAGGGTTTGATGGGGATGGGGATGGTGCTGGGTGTTGGGTGGTGGGTGGTGGTGGTTGGGAAATAAATGAAGAAAGGAATGGATGAAGTGGAGGATGTTTATATGAAGTGATGATATCTTATGTTTATGTTTATAGTTATGGTTATAGTAATGGTTATAGTAATGGTTAGGACACAATGGATGGATGATGGATAATAAAAGCTCTACCAATTTCATTATTTTTACTTTTACATTTTATTTTTACTTTTATATTAACTCGAGTATCTCTATCTCTATCTCTATCTATTTCGTAAATTAATTTAGCAACAGGATTTGGTTTGACTTTTAAGCTCTTGTATATCTATCTATATATCTATATGTTTGTTTGCTTGGCTGTCTATCCATATCTTTATCTATATACTCGAGTATATATCTATCTATATCTATATATACCTTCTCATCTCATCTCATCTCATCTGATCTCATCTCTCTTTTAGTATATACATTTATATATTTTTAGGGGGTCAAATCCTTTCGTTCGATCTTCGTTCTTGCTTTCTTTTATGAATGATGAATGATGACTGATGAATGACTAGAGTATACGAGTAAGTGATTGTGACTTGTGACTTGTGACTTGTGATAATACTAACTAGCTAGCTAGCTAGGTAGGTAGGTAGGTAGTTAGTCATCATGTCATCATGTCATGTTCTAATCTAATCTAATCTAATCTAATCTAATCTTTTATTCTACTTTGTTTTGTTTTGGGTATGAGAGGGTGGAGAGGTGGAGAGGTGTGTAGGAAGGAACTGGATATAATGGGTGTGGGATATATTAGGTGTGGGATATATTAGGTGTGGCAAGAAGGTGGAGGTATTTGGATTTGGATTTGGTTTTGGTTATGGATATGGATATGAATATATAATATCATACAATATACTACTCGTATACATTATGTAATTACGATTGAACACAATACTATAAACAATAACACAAAACTACTCGAGTATACTATACGAGTAGTACTTACTACTTCCTACTTACTAGTTAGTATACTATCTATACTATCTATAAATATAAATATAAACTAGTACTCGAGTAGTAGCAGTGCACTATAAGTATGAGTATATTATACTACATTATAGAGTAGAGAGAGTATTTAGATATCTAAAACTCAAAATTCAAAAATTATAAATTGGGAAACTGGGAATATTTAGATGGATGGATGGATAGATAAATGAGATAGATGATGAGTTAGTTATATTTGTATTGGAGAATGAGTGAGTGAGTAGATAGATATCTGAGTTGAATATATTATGTTTTTCTTGGTCTTGTCCTTTTTGATTAATACTATCGTTTTACAGTACTGTGAGGTGATGTGAGGTGAGGTGAGGTGAGGGAAGGAGGGATAGGGAGAAAGGAAGGGGATATTGGTGTTGCTAGGAGTGGAGGTTAGAGTGGAGAGTGGAGAGTGGAGAGTAGAGAGTGAAAGTTTGATAATAGAAGAAGTGAGATAATTTTAGCGTATGTGAATATGAATATGTCTATTGATATGATGTTTGATAGTTGGTGTTTATAAGGTGATTTGTAGTTATAGTTGAAGTTGTAGTTGTACTTATAGTTGTGATGATTATAAGATATGGTGATGCATTCTTTGAAGAATATGAGATTTGAGATTTGATACTAGCTATAGAAAGACTAGGCTTGCCACTTGCCATATTGGTTGATGAGGATGGATGGGTGGTATGTGTATGTATTGATAACATTGATAAAAGTGTGATTTTATTTGTTATATTTCTTGGTGTGGAAGAGAAAAAATGGGGAAAAGAGGCGGGGGGGCGCTACCTACTTGGAATGAAGTGATGAAGTGATGAAGTGAAGGAGTGAAGAGAGGGAAAGATTCTTATTTTATTAAGATGGATACTCTGGATACTTGAGATACTTTAGATATTACATAGGAGAGAAAGCTGATGGTTAAGGATTATTGTGCATTTTGTGTTATATCATTTTATTTTATGTGCGAGAAGTATGGTATGGATGGATAATGAGGGAGTGAGCGAGAGAGAGAGTATAGTTTGGGGGAAATACTCGTAGATGGTATGGACTGGGCTGGGCTGACCTACAGCTTCTCGTCATGTACAGTTACTTATTTATATTGTATGCATATGGAATGGCACGATTGAATTTTAGCAAATAGCATGGGTATTGCAATATCATATGTAATAGAAGGGGAAAAAAACACACAAAAACACTTAAGACTGCCTGAGAAGTTTCCCATTCAGCACCGGATAATCGCAGTAGCACTAAGAGCAGCCGCTCTTCCGTTTCCCGTTTCCCTTTTCCATTGATTCATTGATTCATTGATTCATTTAGTCATTGATTCATCCATCCATCCCCATTTTCACCACCTCTCAAACAGAAGCAATTAAATACCTCGCTCCATCCTCTAAGACACCCCTAAAATACTTTTCCGCAAACTCTGCTCCAACAGAAGTCGGTTGACTAATTGCAACTTCCTTCTTGTCAATAATTAAACCAGGGATGAATTTCTCTCGGGCCTGGTTTGCAAGTGATGTGGCGATGTTTTGTCGGCGGAAATCAGTGTGCACCCAGAGTCGGTCGATGCACATGTATGCCTCTTGTGAGGTATTGGTGGGAAGAGTCGGGAGGGAGATGGAAGAGGTGATGTTTTCGGTCTCGGTTGTGGTCATGGTCATGATAGCGTTTGCTTTGCCAATTCGCTCGGCGAGGAGAATACCGATTGGACGGGCGCCGATGAGATAGAGGAAGACCTTGTAGCGGGGTACAGGAATAAGATCTTTGGGATCGTTGGGGCTGGGGATCATGGACCAGAGGTGTTCGGAAGATGGTAACGTGCCATCCATATCCATTAGAGTAGCTTCGAGGATACTCTCGACGAGATTTCGGATGGGGCTGGATTCTTTATTACTGATGGCTTGAATGCTATGTTTTTCGCCGTTGATGACCTTGGTCCAGACTTGGGTATTGACGTATTTTGGCTTGAAAATAGGTCCTCCCATGCGAAAGATGTTGTGGAATTGGTCGTGCAAGCGTTGATCGTTGGCGACGTTGATGGCATACTGCATACCACAGTTTGGACACTTGTTATGGAAGGATTGTCCCAGATCTAAAATTTGCTGGTGAAGAGCGAAACCCATGGGGCGGGCGATTTCGGCTCTGAGATTTGCACGTTCTGGGATATCGAGGGCTTGATCGTCGAGAGGTAGAAGAGTGCCGTGGTCGATGATAGCATGATCTCTCATATCTTGAGCATCATGGTATCGTTCCATCATTTCAACTCGTGCATCATCAGTAAAGTCTCCGCCGAGTTCTTGCATATCGCCTTCATAAATATCAGACATCGTGTTGATATTTGGTAAGTTCGGTTTCGTGCTAATGCGACGCCGAATAGATTTTGATCTCGTTGAGACGAGAGGATTTTGAGGTATTGAAGGAGGTGATGAAGGAGGAGATAACACTGGTTGCTGAGGTGGATCTGAGAGTATAGAAGATTGAGATTTCAAAGGACTCGAAGATCGTTGTGGTTGTGGCAATGGTTTGAAATAACTTCGAATTGAAGATCTGTTGACTTTCTCCACTAACTGGGATTCTGAAGTAACAGTGTCGTCCTTTAATATGGTCTTTGACAAGAGAGTAACAAGATTCTCTTTCGAAATCAGTGTGGTAATCTTGTTTGTATTCTGTAGTAGAGAATCTAAATCAAGACTAGTGTTGTTCGAAGCGAGATTTCTCCTTATCGAAGAAGTCAACTGTAGGGTAGGAAAAGATGGAATTGTTGTAGTGATGACGTTATTATGCTTAGATCTTGAGCTAGATCTTGAGATGGATGGTGAACTCGGGGTAGAAATCAAGGTCACTTTGGTAGAAGTGAGTTTGTTGTCTTTGATCTTCGTTGAAGATTTGGGATTCAAAAGATCAGGTAAATCGGAGTTGACGATACCATTATCGCGTTGATTTTGACAGTTTAACTTAAGTTTGGCGAGAGGAGAGATGGATCTGCCGGATTGAGGAGATAAAACGCGTGATTTCGTTGAAGGAGGATCTCTAGTGTCTTCTGAACAACGCTTTGTAGGCGAACTGGCCAGAGGAGATTGAGTTTTTCCTTCGGGTCTATCCGAAGAGTGATTTTTGGAAGGTAAAGATGATTCAGAACCTGTTGGAGAAGAAATTGATATGAATTCTGAAGAATCAACACGTTGTCTCTTGATGGAGAAATCTTGATTGCTTCCTCGTGTGCGCTTGGAATAAGTGCGCATGGTAGCATTGCTTTTTCTGGGGAAATTTGATTAGTGGCTGTGCTTTTTAAAGTGAATAAGTAAGCTGATACCTTTTTGATTGATTCTCCATTGTTACTTCGAATTGTGGTTGTGGTGAAATCTTATAATAATCCACCTTGTGGTCATAATATATTGAAGATTCAGGGAGACGCGTTCCAGTTAATTTTGATAAAGGTCGAAGGTCGTAAAAGAACACGCTAGGTAAAGTGTTGGTCCGAGCACCGAACCTTACTAAGGAAATTACTTTATTGTAACTTATGAAAATCATCAACCACCAAGATTATTGACATTTCAACAGATGTTGAACAAATGCATGAACCCTTCATCTTTGAATGTCGGAAGGTGAACTGAAAATCTGTAAGAAATTATGGTTCACATCATGGTTCACATCATTTCTTATTGTCTAAGAGTCTTATTCTCAGCCTTGCCTTGTCAAATCAGTGGGGACTTTTGAAGTACCCATACTGTAATTAGATAGGTATCACCACGTATGGTACTCACAAATTATGTGTCTTTTTCATTTCATAAGGTTTCATTCCTTGTATCTGGGAAGTTAGTCAGGACTCGGGACGGATCATCATGGTGGCATGCTTGAGGATATAAATTGAGAGATACACCTACAACACTTTGTTGTATCACTGCACAAATACCTGCCAGTGGGGCGGGTACTTTGCCAACTCATCCATCTTCTCATCTGCTGGGTTGAGAATTAGGTGCTATGGAGTACTAGGCAAAGCCGTACCCGTCAAAATCCAGCCGGGTGGTTAGTGGGACCCGGAGAGTAAAACGCGAATGTTTTTCACCGTTAAATTGCAAAAGGCTGAGAACTAATTTCGAGATGCATACTCCACACTATCCGAGACTACCACGCGCATCGCTGTGGGACATAACCAGCTGAAGGAATTATTGACGACTATGGTACAGGCACAGGGACTTAATACACAAATGTGTATGATTCATATTCTTGAGATGGCCGGATGTGGGGATGACAGTCATTTGGGCATTTTCTACCCCAGCGTCCTGACATCTTATGCTTGGTGATACATTGAGACCCTAAGGCCCTAAGGCTCCGGTAGTAGTTGATGTTGATGTCGATCAACATACACCGGCGTCAGTTGTTGCCAATTTGGTCATGGCTAGTGAAGAAGTCGGATCGACCACAACGGATAAATCGACTTCTACAATCGAATTACATAAATCTAGCGTTATGTTGACTTTATTCCAATAACTCTTCATGTCAAAGGAACTCTGGTCTACAAGAGCCCCAAATGCACCCCAGACTTTCATTCCATGGCATCAGAGGTAAACCTCCTCGTTCTCTCAATATATGGAGAAGGCTCAATGATCAACCGCAACTTGGTGGAACATACCTCTGATGATGATGGTGGTGCCGAGCACGAAGGAGGCGCTTCAAAGTGCTACAAGCCGAAGGAGTCATCCATGGACCAAAATACTATCCTTCTACTGTGCCCCCCCATTAATTTCGAAAAATAGGAGTCCACATGCAACTACGAGTAAAGTCCAATGGATAGAGATACTATACCACCCTATACCATACTATACTACTCTACATGTACATGTACAGCTCTTCAGATATTAGTTATGTTATTCAATGGTACAATTCATTATTATAATCGAGTCATATCCGTACTCATATATATACATATCAAAAACTGGGATCTGTCTAGGTAATCCTGTGCCTTTTCTACGTTGATGCATATGCTTGATATGCTTGATATGTTTGAAATGCTTGAAATGCTTGATATGCTTTGTAGGTACGAAAGCAATATGTGAGAAGGTTGGAGTGGGAGGTTGTAAAAGGAAGAGGAAGAAACATGCGTAACGAAATCACTAGGACACTAGAACTAATACCTCTTTACACATTCCATTCCCCCCCTCACACTCAAAATAGTTCAAAACTTTCCTACAGGTATCAATCATCTATTTGATTTTATCAGGATCCTATCTACCTAGTATCTATCTAGTTCCCATCGAGTTGAATGCATTTTTGTATAGTACAACCGTGGTCCATGCAATACAAAATGCGTGATATCATGGACACACACACGCAAGAAACTCCATTTTGATTTGATACATTTTACTCATTTCCTTCGTTTCAGTGTTTTATCCACCATTTCTATCAGGCCATCTTTGGCTTCGCTTTCGGGGAATCCACTGATGGCAGAAATGGCTCGGTTGCCATATTCTTCTGCCAGGGCACGGGTCTGCTCTAAGCCATCACTTTGTAGCACTAACTCTCTTGCCTGCGGTTATGTTAGTATAGGCCTTGGGACACACGTTACGGCGCAACTTACACGCAAGACATCTCCTTCTTGAGAAAACTTCCTTCCCACCAGAGAGCCTAATTCCCTGTTATTCTTCCAGGCAAATATTAATGGTGCAGTCGCGAGACCCAATTCCAAATCGGCGCCAGCTGGTTTACCTAGCTCTTTCTCGCTAATTGTATAATCCAACATATCATCGACAAGTTGAAATGCTAGTCCCAAATTTTTCCCATAATCGTACGCTGCGTCAACTGTAACAGCATCTGATCCTCCAAGCAAAGCTGCCGCCCGACACGATTTCGATATTAAGCTTGCGCTTTTCAGATATGTCTTTTGTAGGTAGTAGGAGATGGTTTCTTCGGTCCAAACAGGATTTTTCTCGTCTTGCGCGGTGTTCTTCAATTGCATGAATTCTCCCTCGACAAGGTTCGCAATGACTGTCGCAAGTAGCTCAGTCACCTCCGCATCACGCAGACGTGCAAGAGCAACAGAAGCGCGGCTCAACAGAAAATCTCCAGCCAATACCGCCATCTTATTTCCAAATTCGAGATTGGCAGATGGACTGCCTCGCCGCGAGACGGAATGATCAATGACATCGTCGTGTAGAAGTGATGCGGTGTGAATGAGTTCGGTAATCTCAGCTAAACGCCTCTGTGAAGGAAGAATATCGCTTTCTGCTGCCGAGTATGTTCTGGGCACATGTGCCAGAGGATTTAATGTAGGTGCGGTAGGGTTGACATCCGAGAGAATGGTAGTTGGCGATATAGGGCTATCTATATCTGCGAGTTCTTGATTGGGATTGTATCTAGAGGATTTTGGAGCTAAGTTTGTAGCTCTAGACATTAGTAGTACAATCATTGGTCGTACATGTTTGCCTTCAGCTTGTGTATAGTATTTCGCAACTGTATCGAGGGAAGGATGCCCAGATCCAAGAAGTTGCCGTATGTTGCCAGTCAAGAACTTCATCTCTTTCGCAACCATTCGCAAAGGGTCTATCGAGTCGCCCCCCCCTCCTGTTGCCCGACTTGTTGCATTTGAGAATACATTAGAAGCCACAGATACTGCCTGCGCCCAAGTCGATTGCCTCCGCCTCGTAGGTTTATGATGGTATGATTGGGCGAGAATAGGTCGTAGGGATATCGTACAAGCTAATTGACCTCGAAAACATGCGCCATTGAGCTGAGTTCTAGCTATTGATGAGCTGGGGAAGAGCTTCGACGCCCTCACAGAATAATTTCTCATGGCCTGGTAAACCCCCACTATGTCGAAATAACAAATTTTCTACACGGACAACAGAGTCCCAACATTCAGTTTTCCGGATCACTACGTCAAAGTTAGAGCTGCCGTAGGCGTCCTTGTGAACCTGGGTATATAAGAAAGAATGTAGGGAATATAAAAATTGTAACCCGCAAGATTCCGACCATAAAGATTTCGGTTGGCTAGACCAATGTCGGACAAATTTGACGCCGACCAGCAACATTTGCCGATAAGCTTTGAGAGAAGCTCCAATTGATATTGTGGCTGCCACGAACATCTGAGATTATTCCAAAGAATCATCCCATTGATGGATTGTAAAGATGGTTCTACTTACCATGACTCCGACTATAGTCGAAGCGTTGCGAACCCTCCATGAAATCGAAACTCACTCTCACCAAGAGCAGCTGCCTAGTGAACACCCCATTGAAACGAGGAAAGAAGTCGAAGAGAACACCCTGCAAAGCTCTACGGACAACGAAACTCAACTGAGCAGAGAGGATGACGGGAGAAATGCAGAGTTGACAGCAGATAGCAATCAGACTGAGCTGCCAGTTCGACAGAACGTACCTACAGCAATTTCGGATGGCGTAAAGTTGTTAGGAAATGCAAAGGTATCGCAGGAACCACAACTAGCAGATCCCAACATTGGAAATCCCATATCTCACGGTCAAATCATTGATCTATGGCGAGATCTAAATAAACATGATTCCTCGTCGCTTACCTTGGAGCTCCTGCTTCGAGGCTCTCGTGTTTATGTTCCAACTCCAATTCTAAAGGCGGAGCCTGTAAGTTACAGTCCAACAATCTGCCGACGCCGAACCATTCTTTGAAATTGAAATGTGTTGGTATTCACTATATGGATTACAAATTGCTTGGGTCTTGGTAATATCTAAGCTAATATTACATGGTCTGTAGACATCGGAATACAAAATTCTGATGGCACGACTTCGCCGCGAAGAAGAAGCTCGAGCATACGAGCGAATGACAAATCCTCCTCCCCCTATGGAGACATTTACACAAAGATTCCCGTCCGCGTCTGCCGCTCATGCATTCAGCGCCAACTTTCCAGAACCTGCAACTGAAGATGACGATGTTACATATGCGGATATTGACCGACAGATTGCTGTTATTTTTAATGTAATCGTATCTATTGTTGCTTGCGCGTTTGGATTATGGATGGCTGCAAGATGGTGGAGCACACCTGCGCGGTTGGCTCTGAGTATGGGTGGTAGTCTTCTTGTTGGGGTTGCCGAAGTTGTGGTTTATATGGGTTACATTAGAAGGGTTGGGGAAGCCAAGGGGCAAGCAAAGAAGCTGCTTGAGGTCAAGGAGGTAATGACAACATGGGTGGTTGGTGGCGAAGCAAAAGACGGACAAATAGAGCCTGTCATGCTTGGCGAGAAAGATGACAACGAAGAAGCGAAGCCACGCCGAAGAAAGAATATTTGATACAAGCTCAGTAAGCTTTGTTTTGAAACTCTTCGAGGTGTGTCCTATGTTGGCTACAAGGTCACACGATTTTGACGACTCTGTGACAAAAATGGGAGTTTCGCGGTTTCCAGCAGGTTGGAACCCGTTACGAGTTTAAATTAGACACAACAGTCTGCTGTGTTCACTAGAAATATTGAAGGTAGGTATTGGTCTCAAGAAGTAGAAATATACAAGGCAAATATTTTGAGACAAGCGGCTAATTGACGAAACAGAGGAGTGCAGAGGAATGCTTCATCGCATCCCACGAAAAACTGGCGCTAACGTATGAGGAGGCCAGCGAGACATATCTTCTAACTGTTATGAAGATATATATTAAGTTGATATTGCCCTCATCAATTTCTCATATCAGTCATCACTTTCTTTCGAGTACAGAATAATATACCTTTGTCTCGATCGCGAATAAGGAGACTTTCGTTTTGAATCCAAGCAGCATCTATTTTTAGATACGGGATTGTCCCATTCCAACAAATACATTAAGCACACTCGAATTCCAGTCGTTCTTCTTCATCCAATTCTTCGTCTGGATCTTCACTCACCTCAGTATTCAATTGGGAACCTTCGATTACCAAATTCCTGCGATATACTCAATCTCCCGGAGACGTGCAACATCACTTTCATTCAGCCACAACCAGTAATTCCCATAGTTGGCTGCAAAAGAACTGCGAGTTTCAATTCAAAGCCGAAGTCACCGACAACGCCATGAATTCTCTCAATGAATACCAACAGCAATTACAATCCTTGGAGCATGAGAACAAGCAGCGACAAGCCTGCACACGAAAGGCAAATGTTTCACAAAACAGCTCTTTCGTGGGTGGCTCCTCGGAACCTCCGTGCCTTTTGGACATGCAGTTACAAATGCTACGTAGGAGTATAACTTCTGATTCGCGTGAAGGAAAGACCGGGTCAACGACTTCAGGGTGACGTTTTCTATACACAGTGTTGATTCTTCGTCGAAATGGTGTATCTTTCTTCTGTTAAGACAAGATTGGATTCAGCATAAGACAAGTCGACAGGGATTTGATGGAGCTGGGTATTACGGTTCTGAATTTGAAAGGAGAGAATGGAGGTAAATCTTCTCATACCTGATATGTGCTGGCATATACAACGCCCAAGGATTAATAGAGAGACTCGGCATAATATATTACGCCCGATGTTGCTAGCCGTGCGGGTTCGTGCATTTGGGGGATTTCGTGGCGTTTAAGGCGTTTTAGACGAATCCATTGTAAGTTGAAGAGTAATATATTCAATCATTAGACATCACCTATGGCAATGCCAATACCCGATATTCATAACGGGAGCCGTGATGCACCCTTTCCTGTATTCTGCTGGGTCATATCCTGTGCCGCCGCCACAATCGGGCGCCAGCCACTACGCCCAAGGTGAACGTTCTTTCATATTGTTCTTGTTCTTCTTTCTCTCACACGACCGCTATTATATCTCCATAATTATGGAGATAGAAAATCCTCCTCTCCCTGATTCCAAACCATACCCTCTAGCCTCATTCCCTTCCCCCATGATCCTCACCACATCTATCACAAATAGATGCCTCTCCCAAACCCTTCAGCTTCATATATCAACTGTGTCCTAAAAGATTTTTCGGACCGATATCTTTATTCTCGATCTGAACCCCAACTTCTTATTTATATATATCCCTTTGTCTGCCTCTTTTGGGGTTTAAATAAGGGATTGTATATGCCATGTGCAATGCTTTCATTGAATGCTATTTTCATGCTTGTACTGTATGCACGGTATTGATTTTGGCTTTTGGCTTTTTGTTTTTGGGCTTTTTGTTAAGATCTCTTGGATGGAGAGTATAGGCTGGTACAACGACAGCCGGATCAAATGGTTCCCGAGATGAAGTTCTGAGCTTGCTTACTTTCTAAGTTTGTGTATATGGAAGATGTAGTGTTGGGGCGCAGCTTCTTCAGATGGATGGACAGTCATTTAATCGCACAGGGCAAATGGGAAACAGAGCAAGCAGGTTGCAGCTATCCTTCGAGTCAGTCTGTGAGTCACAACTAGAGTTAGAGGTTTGAGTAAACTTTCTCTTGTCGTATCTTGTGTTGTGTTGTCACGAATGGATGTCAAGCTTGGCAGTCTCATGATTCTGGAGCATGGGTTGATGATATTGTATAAGGGGAATAAGGGGGCTTGCTATGCTATGCATCTAGCTAATGTTCTTACCCTGTAACTTGGCCCTGAAGGATTTCTTCCTTTTTTCCTTCTGGAAGAATTGTCTGATCCTATATCTCGCCCTTTCTATATCTGTTAATTTCGCTTTTTGTTATATGTATATGTATATATATTATATCATAAAGACATGGGTATTCACATGTGAAAACCTGGATATAAATGGATATGGATATACTTTCCCTTTCCATCCACCGAAGCAGATGGCATGCCTCATAAATTATTACATATACAGTATCACACAAACTTCTCCCTCATATCCCGTCTTCACTCACGCCCGATACCCCATGATATACAGTATCCCCCGCTCCAACCCCCCATAGCAACAATCCTGCATGATATATCCATGAACCATCCATGTTGATCAATACCGCTTTGGATCATATAACGGTACCCAGAAGAAACTTCTTACCTCACTACTGGGCCTCTCTACTCCATTCACGATTCTCGAAATCTTTTACTCAGTACTGTAGCTTGAGATTCTTTGTTTTGTTTTGTCCAATCATATACATCGACTATTATTCAACTATCAATGTCTCCCTCCAGCGTCCCTTCATCCAACAATACTTTATCATTTCCCTCTCCCTCTCCCTCCGTCGGAATAAAATTGAAAACGATGTTGCCTGGATTACAATGACCGAAACGTCAATATCTATCCATGGAGATCTCGAATGCAATTCCCCGCCAGACGATCCGTCAAGAGGTCCAAAATTCACCTCAACATCCAGAAAATCAACCAATAACGTGTATGTGAAACTAATTCCAGCCATCCCTCCCCCTCATTGACAAAATCCTATACATGACTAAAGGCCCCTAGTACGTATACCCTCACAACACCCACGTCCAAACCTTTTCTTGAAGCCTCGCGCCACACTAGTTGCGAGACTAGTAGACCTTGTCGGGATGCCGTGAAAATGGGAGGATCTTATTTGGAGAGGGATAGCCATATCTCGTATATGGATATGAATGGACAGGAGGATAATGATGAAAACAACTACACATTCGCATGCACCCCCTCCCACACCATCTACACCCACACCAACCCCAACCCTACCACCACCTTCCATCCATCCCAAATCTCCAATATAAACACATATACACCCCGTACTACCCACCACACCTCACCATACACCTAAAACTCATCGATTTCCAAGACTCCAAGACTCCAAGACTCCAATAGCTCTTTCTTACCTCTACCTCAAGAACCACTACAGTAGTACAGTATAATCTCGACATAAACACACCGGTACATGAAATTTCCCTCGAACTGCTAAAAACATTAATTTATTGTATCAGGAGAAAGAAAATGGGGAGAAGGGAAAGAAGGGTGACGGAGGATCAACAATGAAGAATGAAAAATGATAGAAGTCATATTACTGAACTCTATCATCCAAGATCAGGGAAGAAATCAATAAGTGTGGATATGGATATATATATACATACTCGTATATCTTCCCAAACTCCCAGTCAACTCATCAAAATCAAATATCAGACCCCGCCCAACTCTGCCCCTACCCCTAAAATCAACCATCCATCCAAATAACACAAATAAAATCCTCTTCTTGCGCTATCTCTCTTCAGTTCCACCCCCAGATCCACCCCCAGCAGCTACTTCAAATCCAACTCGAACTCGAAAATACGCACTAGCAGTCTGGTAGAGAGTATTTACTGCTATGCTATTCCTGGGGTTCAGTTCAATCATCATGATTTTGTTTTGTTTAGTTTAGTTTAGTTTAGGTCTTGACGTTCTTTCTAATCTCATACTCAAGTATGCATGCAATCGTTATTAAAGAAGAGAAGAATTTAGTCTGTCGGTGAAGGATTATATATACCGTCACCACTTGCGTGTTTTCCAAAAACATCATAACAGATGGAATGAAATGTCAGTCACAGTCACAGTCACAGTCACAGTCACAGTTGAAGTCACAATCACAAAGATCTACTCAAGTATAGTATTATGAAAATATTTATTCATGCCATCTGCTTATGAAACAATACTGTATATCCATGATTCAAAACTTTGTAATCAGTTTCCAAGGCTACATATTTGCATCTGTATATGCTTGCTCGCTCACTTGCCTTAATTCGATATATGCACACTGCTATCCCTGATTGACTTTGATGTTCCTAGATACACAATTTACTTTGTACAGGCTACATACAGCTGGAAAAGTAACAACCCTAAACTCCAGAACTGACAAAATGTCTTCTCCGGGTATCCTCCATTTGTATGCTAATGGACTAAGTATTCAATATGTCGTGGTCACATGCCTTTACACACCCCTCCTCGCGCTTTATATTCATTGATCTAGATCCACGCTCGCTTCTCTGCCGAAATATACATCTCCCTCACCGTTAACGCCAGGCTTCTTCTTGTTGATAACTTTGGCTGGAATATCTGACATGTCGTCCATGACGCTCTCTTCATCATCGTCATCTTCCACCTGCAACTCCGCTTCCTCGTGTTCACTTTCACTCATTTCATAAACTTGACCAGACTCATCAAGATCTGCAACCTGTTCTCTCATCTCGCTATGCCCCTCTCTCAATTCATACTCTGGTGTGGCAGGAACTTGTAGCTCATCTGGATCTTGCATCTCGGAATCATCGTCAGAGTCAACGGGAGGGTGATTGAATGCCGAATTATCGAGGGCCATTTCTTCCGCATCTCCATCAGACAATTGTCCGTCAAGAGAATGATCAGTTCCCTTAGTACCATTCGAGCCACCGCCTCCGAGATTAAATTGAACGGATTGAGAAGTTTCATTATTGGAATCTTCGTCGTTCGAATCATCCTGGGCATCCGCCATTTCCACATCTTCGGAATCTAAGTGGGAATCAAAATCGGATCGGCGCTCTTGCTCATCGTCACTGCCGTCTTCAAGGATCTCTGTTCTGGCTGCACGGTGGCCCTTACTCTTGCTTGGGGTTTGCTTCGTCTTGGATCCTGGTTTTCGAACATCTTCGTCTTCGGATTGAGGTTTCTGTGCGCTTGTTGGTGCTCGATCATCGCTGTCGCTATCCATTACTCTTTCAGTACTCAATGCAAATCCACTCCTTGGTTTCTTGGCGAGGACTGAGCGTCTGGCTTTCTTCGCAGAGTCAAACACTTGAACGGTATCACCATCCTCTGCATTAGCAGCAGAATTGCTTCCATGTGATTCATCTTGCTTAAGCATGCGATGTCTCATTTTGGGCTTGGAATTGCTACCGCCAACATCATAGAGCTCAGGATTGTTCTCAAAGAGAGAGCTTGTTTTCGATCTCTTAGTTCTCTTCTTGAGACCAGTCGATTCAAAGGGTAAGTCAACATAACCCTCAGGTTCATGAGGTGCTGAGTCCTCGAAAGCTTTGATAAGTAACTTAACATTCTCTTGAAGAGGCTTGCTGGTATGGCCTGGAATGTTCTGCGTCAAGCCACGAAGACAGATTCTCATTTCCATTGCATCGTGGTTCCGATCGAGATTTTTATCAATTGCTCTCCAGTCAATCTTGCTCTCTGCTCCTGCTTTACTATCGCGGATCGCTTTGAGAAACTGTAGTTTCTCGGCGGCTAGAGTCTTGGTTGCATCCCGGTAACTTTTGAGATGATTCCAGCTATTGCTAATCACGATACGTTCTGCAACAAGGTCGTCCGTAGTAGCGTGCTCTCGAGCTTTAATGGCTTTCCACTTTCGATAGCACTGAAGATGACTCCTGGAAAGATCCATGAGCTCACTAACTTTCATCCAGCTGATATCATGTTCGTGATAAGTATCATCATCTTCCTCTTCAGGCGTGAGTAATCCCTCTCGACGTCTATCCTCGCGAATGAGTTCGATACATTTCTTCACAGCATCCTTCAGCTGTTGTTCTTCCTCAAGTTTCCAAGGGCCTAATTCCAGATTTGTAACAGACAAGTAGTTTCTCCACCGATCACGACAATCATCAGGTAGACGGTTGAGTTCCGCACCGATAAGAGACCATTTCTTGGGCAATCTTTTGAAAACTTCCATCAATTCTTCATCTTGTTCAGTACTCCAGACACCTCGGGCTGCATAGTTGTGAAAATTTCTCCTGCACCAACTTTGAAGGTTTCGTTTGGGAACATCAGGTACTTCTTCCTTCATAAAATCCCAGAATTTCTTTCCATCGGTTAGAGCATTTCCTTGAATAATGCTGTTGACAGCTTGCTGTTCCATGTCGTTATCAGCGCGATACAATTCCACGGCGTCTGCGATTTTCTTTGTCTCGTCTTCATCGAATCTTCCATTGCCGTCCTTCGGCCTCACCACAGATTGGCTTCTGCTACGTTTTGGCTTGGCCTTAGATGAAGCATCTTTTTTGGCCTTGCCAAGCTTTTTGCTGGACGTCTTTTCAGACTTTGGTGCTTTTTGCATTGGGTTTTTACCTGATTTAGGTGTCTCCAATGCCACAAGGGTCGGTTCATCCACAGGCAAATACCGCTTTCGACGAGTAACTGACGCTTCACCTGACTGTTCCTCAAATTCCGATGCATCATCCGAGGAGTCTTGGTTATTTTCGGCGGATGTGGATCTTCTATCGGATGCTGTCCAACCTGCCATTTCTTGATTTGCAGAACGACTTGTTTTTACTGCAGGGGATGAAATAGCCACCTCAACATTCAAAGCAGGCAGATTTGCTTTTAGATTAGTTTTTGATGCAGCTACACTTGAACTTCCATGTTGAGGAGCATCATCCGAAAACATCGACCGTATATCACCATTTCTGGGATCTGCATCAATCTGCTTTCTTTTCTTTGACTGGTGCTCAACTGGCTCATCGCGAGCAGGTCTCTTACCAAGAGCCTTTGCTGATGGAACAACCGGGTTTGACTCTAATTGAGACTTCTTGCGACCAGAAATTAGTTGATTCAGGAGAGCAGCCGAGTTTGCATCACCAGCTTCTGTTCGGTTGACTTTAGAAGTCTTTGGTTTAGCGATATATTTCTTGACCCTTGGCTGTGGTAGTGTAGTTTTATCTAAAGCGTGAGTTTCGGTGTCCTGGTCCTGTATGCCAGTTTCCTCCATGGATTGTTGTAGTTTCTTTCTCTTCCCAGTATTTGACTTTGGAAGGTGAAATTGCTCTGCCGAATGGTTATCCAAAATTTCAACTGCAGTAGTTTCCTCAGGTGACTGTGCAACTTGATCTTGAGCCTGCTCTTTTGGTTCAGCAGTTCCTAGTGCAACTGCTTTACCCGACTTGGACTTTTTTTTATTTTCCTCTGCATGAGTCAAGTTCGCTTGGTCTTCAGGTTCTTCTGGTGGTAGGATTTCCCCCTCGCCGAGGGATGCCGAATGCGATTTATTGGATCTGCGTTTCTTGCGCCGTTCTTTCTTTTTGGTAACTGAGTTTGTCGAAATGGCGGTTTCTTGTGGGTTTGCCATTTCCACATCAGTCATAGATTGATCTACAGGGATTGACTTCTTTCTTTTCCTCTTCTTGTTCGATCCCGAAAAGGTAGTGGTGTCTTCCTGGGCGATAGAGTCTTGATGCGTCTCGGGTTCAAGTTCTTGATGTTCTGCATCTGCCAACTGTGCTGCGCCAATTGACTCGCTTGGGGTGTGATCTTCGGCACCGGTCTGCAATTCTTCCTGATGAGACTTTCGATGCTTGCGCTTTTGCTTAGGTTTTGGCAGCTTAATGTTGGCCGACTCGAGTGTTTCTTCTGGCTCATAAATCTGCTCGGAAGGATAGCTCTCTGAGCCTGCCACTGGTCCATTTGCACTTTGATCTTCAGAATGAGTATTGTGATTTGACTCCTGCCGTCTTCGTCTTTCCTTTTTTGTGTTCGATTTCGCGGTACCAGCATCTGAAGGTAATTCTTCACTTGTTTCTCCAGTATTGAAACTCGGTCTACTCCTCTCTGCCGAAGGTGGTGTGGGTGAAGTAGATGGGTCTAGTTCTGACGCGCCGATTTCTGGGCTTCCTTCGCTGCCCGCCATCCGATATTCTCTCTGTAGAACACTCGCCGATCCGCCAATCTTCTTGTTCTTCTTCTTACTCTTCTTGGACTTCCTTGAACTAGTGCCATTATCTTGATCTGTACCACTAAGCTGGTCGCTTGCAGGTTCTCGAGGAGTGGTGTCCATGGCCAGATTGTTACCTGAGAGAGAACTTGTTGTTTCAGTTTCTAAAGGTCAAATTAATAAAGTTAGCTCTCTACACAGATTCCAGTCTTTTCAAGTTCATTCGGGGTTGTGTGACCAAACTCAGGTTTCCCGAAACGAAATAACAAAAAAGTTTGACCTACCTTGAATTATCTTATCGGTCTCGCAATCTATCGAATCTTCTTGTGAATATTTGGATTCAGGCTGTGAGGAGAACAATCCTTTGGCCCAACCTAGCATGTTTTCTGATGCATATTACTTTGAATGCTTTCTGTAAACTTTGTTGATATATTGTCGACTGGAGTCTTAAGGAGGGGTTGTGTCGCAAAGATGGACTTCAATTAACTCCAAGCACGCACTGTAGTAGTGACTGCACTGAGTACTTGATGATCTTAGAATTTAATTTTTGGGGATTTTACTCTAGCGGCCGCTAGAAGAGTAGAGAGTAGGTAACTAGGTAAGCTCCGAGCTCCGGCACCCAATTATCATTTTGGTATGGGGTTCGGCTAAATATCGAGGACTTGTTGTGGGGGGGGTTGGGGGGGAAGGGATGAGACGGGATGAGACTCATGGTTTTCCTACTACAACTACTTTCTAAGACCCTATCTACTCGAGTACCAGTACCTATAATTATTATGTTTCTTATCAGCCAAACATCCAAACATCCATTGTAGCTTTCTTCAATCAACTTGATCCTATGTGACTGACACCATTCATAGGAAATTTGAGCAAACAACAAATGCAACCATCCAATTCATATCGAGCTATATGTCATCTAGTCTCCTACATATTGGAATAGTCAGCCAAGATAATCCAAAATAAACCAAATATGATGGAACAAAGCACTAAGGAAGCTATACATTTCTGGATGATCTATACAATCTCGATAAGCTGTTCCGGGAGTACCAGCACAGGCAATATCTGTGGACGAACTGGATCACTTCCCCAAGAAGCACTGTACTTATCTTATGCTTGATACTGTGTGGTTTGAGTTAGTACTCCTCCAAGGTGCCTGGCTGGAATGATATCTTGGTGCCCACTTATGATAGTATGTCCTGATACTCTGAGTAGTATGGTGCGGGGTAAGTGACACTGCACTGATGTGGTTGTGCAAATCAGTCATTAGCTGTTTCACAATCACATTTTGGTCAATATATAACTTATGATATGAGCACATATCATCCCTTTTCATTGCCTGTCTACTCTCTCTATCTTTGCAAAAAGGACTCTTCTCGATATGGATTCAAGGCATCCCTGGACTGTTATAACAGACAAATTTGGTTCAATCCTCCCTGTGTTTGATGAGCTGATTGGCAAAGATGCTCAATTTAATGCTTTTGTGAGCACTCCAGCGATTTCTCATGAAATCATCTTTGGGATTGGCACAGCGGCATCAAACCAGACTGTGATTATGAACATAGAGAATGGTGTATGTCATGCGAGAGTTGGTACTGCTCAGCAGGCCTCGTTTACACTACTGGCGTCACCCGAACACTGGGAGCAATTCTTTCAACCAATCCCAGTTGCTCCCTTCCAAAGTTACTGGGGTATGTTTGGGATGAACATCAAACAGAAAGGCATCGAGATTCAAGGAGATCAGGTATCTTTCGATCAACACACCCACATTTGGAGGCGGGTTCTTGAAGTCCTTCACGACGCCTATTGCGGGCCGATGAAGACCGACGAACAGCCTGAAGATGACGAAGATCACATCATCGGTCGTTATGTATATGTAACCATTCCGATATGGGGGAGGTGCAAAGTCTTTTACGAACAGAGCGGGTTTGGAGATCAGGACATAGTGTTCCTTCATACCGCTGGAGCAGATAGTCGGCAATACCATGGTGTCATGAATCATATCAAAATGCGCGAGAGGTGTAACATGATAGCTTTTGATCTTCCCGGTCATGGAAAAAGCTTTCCTCCTCAAAATTACTGGTAAGTATAATGAGTTGTTTGAAGTCTAGTTTTAATTGCTGGGGATGTTCTGGGTTTTACTTTCTGTATGATTCATGATGCACAACGGTACTTGAAGGTGCTGGTATCGTTGCAGTCACATGAAACAACCACTGACTTGAGATACTCTAGTCCCGGGAACTATACAAATTCCGAAGACAGCTATGTCGGTGCCATTGCCGCAATGGTTAAGAAGCTGGAATTAAACAAACCTATAATATGCGGGGCATCTATGGCTGGTCAAGTGTGTCTTGCTGTAGCGACTAGAGCTGATGAAGTTGGTGCTGGTGGAACAATTCCACTGCAAGGGTAAGTTTCCTATTCTCTCAAGACCAGTACTGACAATTATAGTTGTGATTATGTAACTATGGATCGTCAATTCAACGATCAATCGCCATACATCAATCAGTCTCTCTTTAATCCCGAATGGATCTATGGAGTAAGTTATATTATCCTACCCGGGCACATCCATCTATCTAATACTCGCTCGCAGATGATGTCACCAACCACACCTCTCGTCAACAAACAACTCATATGGCACATGTACAGCGCACAAGCCTATGGTATTTTCCACGGTGATTTGGACTTCTACTTCGGTGGCTGGGATGGGCGCTCGCGAATGTCCAGTATCAATATCAACAAATGCCCAGTGTATATGTTGACGGGCGAATACGATTGGAGCAACACTCCTGCCATGTCTCAAGCAACTTGTGACAAAATCCCAGGAGCAAAACATAAATCTATGCCGGGCATTGGGCATTTCCCAGCGACAGAGAATCCCCACAAGTTCATTCCACATTTGTTGGAGGCGGTTGATTGGATACAACATACTAGACGACCAGATTCGTTGGAGAATATTGTTTGAATACAAGTGTTTGATGGTGGGTTTGCAGGCTAACTGGGTAATGGTGGTTTATGTAAGTTGGTCATTCAACATGACGCAGATCAATTCTCTCTTGGTTTTAATAGGTATTCGACTGAGCCTACAATCTTGCTATCGACTAATTATGTTTTATATTGAGTGCTTGTTTCACGATTTGAACTGAGGGGTACTTTTCAAACTCTACCTTGCCAGTTCCTAAAAAAACCAGCTCATCTCCATAAAATCAAACTCCATGACTCTCGACGAGCTTTCGGTGACCCTAGTATCTCCCGACAGAAGAATCATAATTTTTTTACTCCAAATAACGAACTTCCTGCTAGTTCCTGATATAACGAATGAAAGAAAACGGACAACTTCCATATATCTTTCCCTTTCCCCTATCATATATCTACACCTCATCAAACCCTCCCCCACCCCCTCCCTACTTTTCGAGTCCCCCTTTCGACCTTTCTCTTTCTCTGTCTAGACCTCTGTCAAAAAACAGAACATGACAGCAAACACTCCTCCAATCTCTTCACTATTCATGTTTCACCTTTTTTCTCATTTTGAAGAGAACACAAACAACCCACCGGTACCTAACTCCTGATCAAACTCCAGGATCTATGGAGAAGTTCCCGTATCATATCATAACCCAAACTTAAATCCAGCCTCTGAACTACCTTGCAAGTTCCCCTCCTCACACTCACAATGACTCACCGCATATTCTCATTCTCAACATCCAAAATTTCAAAAATCCAACAACATTACAAAAGTCTTCCATGCGGTTAACCACGCCGTAAGAGGGCTCTAGATGGAAGTACCCTTAATCGAATCGAATCGAATTAACAAAATTATAATTACTTTAAGTTTATGCATGCAGCATGCATGATGTTGGTCGATTACACGAGTATAGTATAGAATAGTATGGTATTACGCATAGATGAAATGAATCACATCAGATCTGTAAAAAGTGTATTAGTCTACTATTGACTGAGTGGATAGATTTGATGGATTTGATGGATGGAGCGATAGAGGGATACTTTGGTACTGTGTCGTGAAGAAGAAGAAGATGATGATGCTGATGATGTGTGTAAATGAATATGAATACGAATATGCGGACAGGATCTTATTTGTTATAGGTACACACACTACTATGCGTACATTTTTCATGATGTTGATTGTGGTACAATGAGACGAGCGGTCTCTTTATGCATGAGATTGAAGGGGAGGGAGTGGATGAACGTTGAAAGATGAAAGATAAAAGAAGAAAAATAAACGAGAACTAGAAGAATAGGAGATAGTTTCTTCCACCAAGTCGTGGGCTATGATGTCCCGGTATCATGGCCGCAAATTTGGCCCTTGGACGTTTCTACACTTGGATAGAAGAGAAGATGGGGTGTTCTCATTCTTTATGCGTATGGTTTGTCCTCACATGGCAAGGAATTACCTTTTTAAATCTCTTTGGTATTGTCGCAAACACTGCGGATATTATCTATTGGTTTTCAGTTGAGACAGAAAATTTAGATGTAAAAGAATCTTCTAGCTCTATCTCTATTATCTCATGTAAACCCCACTGTATTATAAAACTACCCCCTCACACCTCCCTCCATATACATCATCGCAATCTCCATCTCAATCTCACTCTCTTGTTCCTCCTCATCCACTCATTCTGACATTCCAACCTCACAACCTCAGACCCCACCATTCTTCCCCTTAAAATAAATCGCAAGCACCTCACCCAATCCCTCCCCAACCAATTTCTCTTTCGCTACCCACCCCAATACATCCTTAGCCCTCGTAGACGCAACCCTCACATACGTTCCAAAATAATACGCACTCAAAAGACCCACCACTTCAATCGCATCCGGCAACGCCAATTGCTTGATTGAATCCTGGATGAGATTATATGGCGCAGCAGAGAGATGCGATACCAGGTACGTCATATACTCCTTGAAAGAAAGATCTTCGGAAGCGCCAAAGTAGTAGGATTCCGGGCCCCATTTCTTAGGGTCGGCTGACGATGGATTTTTGAGCGCATCGTCAATGAGCAAGAGGTATATCTGAGCGAGGTCGAGAACGTGGATGTAGCCTTGAACATTTACGCCTGTATTGAGGGTGAATCCGGAGTTGAGCTTGGTGAGAACGTCAATGAGTGGGGGGAGGGTGATGGGGGTGGGGTGGATAGAAGATGGGGAGAGCCCGTAGACGACGGTGGGGGATATTATCGCGACGTTTGTGTCGGGGGCAGCAGCAAAAACGAGCTGAGAGTTTGTCAGTATTAAGTTAAGAAAGCTAGGAGAGGAAGATGGGACATACGGCATCAGTGGTGGCGTGGACGGTAGTTGATGGGAACGATTTCAATCCTTGAATGTCGATGACATCATCCCAGATTTTTGTGCCAGGTTGGGTTCCATCGGGGGAATCCCAGACGAGTGCTGCTCCAGATGTGTGGATGTAATATGTTTTTGGGGAGTGATTTGCTAATCCCGCAAGAATAGCTGTGATAGCTATGTCTTCTTCGTGGTCGGGGCCGGCATCTAAAAAGGAAGGTTAAATGAATTGTTTGTCAAGTAAATGGGGGATAAAAACATGAAATATGGGTAGATTCGGAGAAGAGGTAGGTAACATCAGAATGAGAATAGCCAGACACGAAACGCAAGTGAAAGACTAAACTTTGGTTGAGACTTTTGATGTATGGCGCAAATATTCAGTTCGCAACATCACTAGATGTACCTGTACCTTCTCCGCTACTGGAAATAGGGGTGAAGATGCATACTCATGACCTTTCAGAACACGAGCGACAGTGACGGGGAAAAATACAATTCTGGACAACTCATAAGAAATGATATGCGGCCACTTACTGATGACAAGATCCGCTTCTTTGGCTTCTCTGGTCAAGATATCCAAAGTCTTGAAATCCCCAATGACAACTTTTACTCGCGGGTACTTACCCACGAGTACTTCGCCTTTCTTCTCATCTCGTACCAGTGCTTTAATCTCTGCATTTGGATACTTTGGGTAGACGAGATCTAAAACCGCGCCGCCAATATGGCCTGTTGCTCCAATGCTACAAGATATTTGTTAGTGATTCGGGTTCCACAAGGAGAATTCCCCTTCCGATCCCGGATAATCTGCAAGGAGCGCCCGAATGCAATATACGTACAGGAATATTTTCGACATGTCTGATTCTGATTTAAGCGGCAGTAGTGTGACCTCGGGTTATTTCTTGATGGGTAGTACGAAAGACAAATTTATATTAAACTCTAGGGATTGCGATTAAAGGATGTCGTGGAACTGGAATGTATATTGTCGTCTTCATGGCAGCTTTATATGGAAATTAGAAGCCATATGGCCCCTCACTTGAGGTATAATTTTGTAATCGTCGTACAGGAACATGTGAATACAACGAGACATGCTTAGGAATCGGCGTGACTCAACAGTAGAATGTTACTTTGATTTGTAAAAGCACAACATTTCGAGATTGAGGTGACGGAGCAGTGTCAGCAACTCGACGTCGCCCACTAATTCCCTTTTTTGGGTGTGTAAACCTCCGCCGACTTCTCGACACTGTAAAAATGTACATATTTTTGATCGAGTGATTAACAATCAATGCTGAATACCCATCGTGATTCTTCCTGTTTGAGCTACGATCATCAATTGGAATGAAAATAGGATGTTATTAAGCACATAATTCTGAGTCATTAGCATCTGCGTTGTCAGCAAGTCCACTCGAAATTCCGATGAAAATTCTGGATTTTATGATCTTCAAAAGTCCGAAAACAAGATGGTAAAGTAAAAATACGATGTGTTCGATATTGATATTGAAGAAGATGATAATAAGGATTTTGCCGGAATGCAACCACTACCAAACCATTAATCGTGGAGAAATAGGCGGTCGGTCGCTAAAATTTAGTGCCCGCGTATATCTCAACAAGATTTCATTCAGCCTTATCTTCTTATCCTCAACATATATCCTCACAATACACAGCATAAAGCATACAGCATGAATACGAAAAGGTTGCAGATACGTTATCGCAAACATTAGATCGCGGAATCCCTCCGCTTTCATCAAATTGTTAGAACAAGTTGGACTTGTCATCTACACTTGTATCATCGTCGTACAATGAGATATCATCCTCCTTTAATAGATACTTATGACACAATATTACCTTCAGCTGACAATCGGCAAGCCGAAAGCAATATGAAGATACCGATACAATGGTCCCAAAGGAATGAAAGTCTTGTAAACATACTTCAATGACAATGACAATTTAGGGAGCAAACGGTGAGATACGGCCTATACGGGATATGCAAGTTATATCAATGGAATTCTATCCTTGACTAGTGGCTGCAAAGCCTAGTTAGACCGCCAACAACAAGACAAGTACTGTAATATCGACGATTGTGCCTCAGTTGTACATCGGCTAAAACAAACCGCAAGAGATCGCCCTTGAAGTCTGACAGATACAATTTCATATTAGAGTTGACTGACCTGAAGGTGGGTATTATCGGAGACGCGTACTCCGAAGTACAAACGAAAATTAATCGCAACTCCTACTGTGTGTGACCCATAAGGTGGACTCTCATAAGGATACTAAAGGCTCAAGTTTGGGCTCAAGCACCGTTTGTGGATTGATTTTGATACAGCCAATAGGAATATTTAGCATCTCTTGAAACATTAGTTGGAGTTTTGCATATTATCATGGATCTTGAGCATGACCTCATTTGTCTCTGAATAGCTTCATCATTTTGCTCCTGGGAGGTTCTTGGCTGTTTAAAGACATACATCGCCTAATTACGCAATACAGCAGTTGCTCACTATACAATGGATCATCTTAATTAGTTTCATTATTTGAAGAAACGCTCTGGGCCATTTTATTTCAAATATTTGTTACTTTTTATATTGAAAGATTTTATGCACATGAGTTTTTACTTGCGATATTCCATCTGCCTATCAACCTACTTAATACATCAATCCATGAATTTTTCGGGAGTTTTCACAAAACAAGCAATTTCTCCAAATGATCAAGCACCTGCTCATGTAACACTGCAGCATGCACACTAAGATTCCAGCCCATGTTCATGTTCGCTAAGAATCTCCAATGCCACAACTTTCAAAAAAGCATCCGAGGCTCCACATCTCGTACGACACGCACAGCTCATATCGTCACGCTTTCCATTCGTTCCCCTTGAAGGCAAGTTTCGGCAGTTGCTTTAAGCACATCTCCAGATATATAGAATCACGATATTTGATCGTGCTTATCTTACCGGAAGGAAATTCCTGATCAGCAATACGCGAATACTCAACGGGCCGATCCTTGATACAGGCTGTAGATTATTCCTATATGCATTAATTACATAAACTCTTCTCGTGGGGATAGTGACGTTTCCCTTGACTCTGTTGGAAAACTTCTAACTGCAAATACATTCGCCTCTAACATGCATTTGTATAGCACAGACCGGTATGCAATTTCAGAGACATTTAGGCATGTACCTACCTGTTGTTTGTACAGGAGTAGGAACCGGGATTTCAGGAACTGCAGCGCTGTGCATGAACATCCCTGAGCGACGAATCAAATCCCAGCCGTCTGTCTACCTTAATCTACCTAGGTATATCTATTGATCAAACAAGTTTTCCTCCTCCACTCCTGGAAAGGTCGATGTGATATTATGAAATGATATACCATTTATGTACTCGCGAGGCACAGAAAAACCACACGCACGCTCAATTTCCCATCCATGCATGCACCCCGAGCTTCCGAAGTCTCGAAAATCTTACCAGGCAGGGGGGGGGAACCTTCGTTTACGAGATCCATATTCATATTCCGAAGCGAAGCGAAGCGAAGCGAAGCGGACTCTTTGATTCTTAGATTAGACACACGGTTACATGTACATGTACATGTGTAGCAACGGAATATTTTTCATTCGATACCAATGCACTCGGAAACAGTGTGTGTTTCCCCGCGGGAAGGGGGTAGGAGGTTAATGATATGCACAACACTTTTTGTGGAATAAGCATGGATGCTTTCCATTTAGGGAGAGAAAAGACTTTTAGGTTTAGTTCAGGTTACTCCCGCGGCGGGGCGGTGAGATCGTGAACGATGATGTGATTGGTTCATGAGTTGATTTGGTTTACTTTTGTCTCGTTTCTACACCCGGTGGTACGTGGAAGGATGTATTCATCCGTTATTTTTCATGGGTCTCATATGATATTAGGTCAAAATACTCAGAAGGTATCTCGAATACCCGTAACGCTTGCGCGTATCTTTTATCTTTTATGCGAAGTTAAGATAGACATGTACTATAACCTTATATGCTAGGCATAATTCTATTGGAAGATCTCAAAAAGATACATTTGCACAATATATACTAGACATGAACTTTATTAGAAAACCTTAATTAGATATATTGATTTACCTTTCAGAAGTCTGCATAATAAACCGTATACGTATCCGGGTCCAGTTCTCCCCGCCTTAACACTACTCATGCGTGTCTTTGATTCTCTCGCCTTTTCTCCGCTATTCATTCGTGTTACACGACAGGCGGAACGAGGTCGTTCGTTTTGCTTCTTCTTGAAGATGTTCTTGATTATTGAATACTATATATGATCCTTTGGCTACACAGATCTAGACTCCCTTCCTTATTCGTATTTATTCATACCTACTCACTCTCCCAATATCCCAATATCCTATCACTAAACACTACTCTGCGGAACTCATTAGTAATAATATAGAGTTCTCTCTACTTATACTTCTTTAAGTCTTCTCTAAATTTTTATCTTTCTTTCTTAAATAGCTAATATCTATAATAAATAAAACTAAACAAAAATCTAAAAAGATAATATTTAAGAATATTCTTTTCAATCTTTATTTAGCAAGTTATAAAATTAAAGTATATAATAATAAATCTTTAATAGAATAAGCTATAATAACTATAATATAGATTTTTGAGATACTCTACTAGTAAGTCTAGAAAAATAATTAAACGAGTACTATAACGAAGCGAATTATTTTTCTAGCACCAAACCAAGCGGCTAGATAGAGTTAAAGCTTGTAGTTAGTTATTGTTATAGTTATAGCTATAATTATAGTTATAGTTATATATACACCAATTCTCATACAACTCCCTATCCCTATCCATATCTTCTCCTTCTCACTTCACTATCCCTATCTCTATCCCCTTAGCTTAAGCCCAACCTTCACTTCTCCAATTCCTTCTCCAACTTCTCATTCTCATTCCCATCCTCCATCCCCATTCTCATCTCCCATCCTCCATCTCCCATACACATTTCCTATCCTTTAACAAAAGATTTCTTCCATATCCCATTCACATCCCATTCACCTCCCCCCTTCCCCTTCCTCATTCCTTCCTTCGTTCTAGACTACACTACAGACCTACAATGATAGTATACCGTGACCCATTCCCTCCTGGGCCTCCTCATCCCATCTCATCCCATCTCATCTCCCAAACCCTCTAAACTTTTCAAATCCCTCTAAGCCACTCCCATATATATACATAGACACCTCCAAACATATCTCCAAAGTCTCATACACTCAAATAATATAATATAATACCATATTACATCTCACTTCTTACTTCACTCCCCCCCTCCCCATCACCTCACATCACCTCACATCACCTCACTTTATCCCAAGAAACCCAATTCAATCCATAATCCACAATAAAGTACGCCTTCAGACAGTACTCGTCGTATATTCTCAATTGAATTCATATAACTGAATTCATATTCATATTTGTTTATATTTATATTTATTTGTATTTATTTGTATGTAGATATATGTATGTATACCCATTGAACTAACTACCTAGTATCTTTCTGGGCTTTCATTTCATTTCATGTCATTTCATCATCAGCCTCCACCCACTCATATGACCTCTCCTCTCCTTCACTCATCTCATCTCTTCTTTGTACATCCCATCCCATCCCATCTTATCTTATCTTATCTTGTTCCCTCCCTTCCTCCCTCATCCACCCACTCAACTTCAAGCTTCACAAAACCAATTCCCAATTCCAAAATATTGCAAGAGTTCAAAAACTCGCCAACCAATTTCAATTCCAATTCCAGTTCCATCCCCGATTCCAAAACCATCCCATCCATCCAATGCAATTCGCATTATCCATACATACCCTTGGGAAGAAAATTCACCCACCCGCCCACCAAGAGATATCCTATCCATTCCATTCCTTCCAGCCACCCAATCCACTTCATGTCACCATCCCACCCACCATGCCAAAGAAAATTTTCCACTCTCCAAATCAAGATAGAAAGAAATATGAATTGGAAAACTTCACACCTAATCAAACCAAACCGCCCACCGAGATTTTGTCTGAATATCTGAAATTTTCCTTTCCCTAGGCCCCCAAACCTGAAAAATGCAAAAAGTCTGACCGCCCAAAGATATAATGATGACGTTGATTGAGATGTTTAAATTGATTGCGATGATACGATGATGCGATACAAAAAAATGAAAAAATATATATGCAATGTGCGGGCACGAAAATGTATGAGGCTCAGAAGGAATAGAAAAATAAAAGTATGTTCGTGAATAAAAATTGCAAACATTGCCGATGTGGTATCCCGAATTGCAAAGCAGTTGATGATAGAGCAGGGTGTCAAAAACCCTAAGAAATGACTTGTACAATGCACTCGGCGGTCAAATTCCAAATTCGTATCTCGTTTGGATAAAGTTACAAAAACAATAAGTCGTATCGTAAAACAAATGGATAAATGCCAATATTGTGATGATCGGCAAACGCCAGGGACGAAGAAATGTAACGCGAGGCGGTAAGTAATCATCGACCCGAACTCTTTCGGCCCGCGTATGCATATTCTTTGTGCGAGCCGAGTTTCGTTTGTGGAATCTAGGCTCTGGGGTGGCAAGCCTAGGTGTGATGTGAAATCCATGTTCATCGGTGTGTTACCATTACACAACATATAGATAGAATCTAGACTTCGTGGAACCGTAACTCGTAGATATTTCCGTTGTGACATTGCGGTGAACCAATTTGGTTCGGTTGGGTGATGATGAATATTTGATCATACTTGTGATGGAGGGCGATGAGGATGATGATGATATTTCAGGTAGCCAAGAAATCCATACCCAAACCATGAGCCAAGCTTTGCCAATCCCAACTCCTCTCATCTTGAGCATCCATTAATCTCCAGACTTCTTCAAGCACCTTCAAAGCTGCATCTGAATTTCGATATTCCATGTATGCTTTCACCACACCGATGGCTTTCCTAATAGGGTCTCTTTGTCTTTCTTCAAAGGCAGCGCAACCGATGATGAAAGCTGGAGCTAGGACAAGAGTTTGAGTAGGATCGCGAGGTGGTACTTGAGCCAGTAAAGCAATTCCACCGTCAACCGCTAAAGTAATTCTAACATCGGGTTTCCATTTTTTGTCCTTGGGAGGATAGATAGTTCTCCATAAATATACCCACATCATTTGCTTGTAGAGTAGACCCGCAAGATCTCTAGAATCTCCAGCTGGCCACACGGGCTTCCAATCCCGGATCCCAACATCAATCTCAGCGGCGCTATATAAAGCTGTGTAGTCTACCGCGGGATCGATTTTGTTCTTCATGTTGAGGCGAATGGAGTTGCGAATGTTTGTTATTTTAGACATGTAGAGAAAAAGGCCATCGTTGACACCAAGAAGACGGACGGCACCGGGCTGGATAATATTGGTTGGGATGTTCCAATCGTCGGACACAGTGCCTAAACGAGCGCGACCTTCTGGTAGGGAGATTATCTCATCGAGAATGATATGAAATTGAAAGAATTCATGAATGAAGTTCAAAAAAGGCCCTTCGGCAGGCGGGGACTGTTGGATAAGTTTTTGATAGGCGTTGAGATGAATACGGTGTGCACCGTTAGGGTTTGGGTCTGCCAGGGTTTGGAGAACGAGACACAACATTTGGCCAAAGCAGGCAGAGATGACTACATTATCAATTTCGCCTCTTTCTTGTCTAGCCAAGTCGTGTTGAAGTTCCTTCATAGCTTCATCGTGGTGAAATTGTGATCTCTCCTCGAGGGTTTTTCTATCGATATCAGGGTGTTGTTGAAGTAATTCCTTGCCATAATCCGATTCGTAGTCAATATGTTTGCTTGAAAGAGCAAGAATTGAATGCATGAGACCGACATGGTCGACAGCCAGTGGCAGTAATTGAGCCTTGAAGGCATTATTCTCCACCCCTTCGACTGTAAAAATTGAGCTCAATCTGTAGATATAATGTTCGAAGAAAACTTTGTCCCCAGATGTTTCCACCCCGTGAATCACTGGTTGGAGTGTAACACTGGGCAAGCTGACCCTTCGCATACGGGCTGTCGATCGAATCAGTTCTTCCGCTCTTGATAGCTGGCAATTCCATAATGTCGCACCTTCTTCAGCCTTTTCCTTTCCACTTTTCCAGACTTGTTTTTCTGGATAACCTTCGCAGACGACGGCATTCTTTTCGCAATTCATACCTATGTGCCAGATGTCTATTAGTATCATGACATCACGGAAGGGAAAACAAATATGGGATTGTGAGGACAACTCAAAACATACACCTAGGTTTGGCTTCGTCACACTTCTTCTTTCTTCTTCTGCATGTTACACAACCGGTCTTTGATCGTCCTTTGGCAATCTTATTCAATGGCTCGGTAGTTTGTATAGGATGCTTACGCGGGCGGCCTCGAGGTCGTTTCGCCTGCGTAGGCGAGCGTAATGTCGAAGGTGTGCGCGGAGCGACAGACTGAAGGTTCAATTCATCCTCTAAAGGCTCCAGTTTCGGTTCCAACAACATATCAATGTCTTGATCCTGCTCATGTTCATGTATATGTTCCCCATCCCAACTACCTTCTGCCGACCCATTATGTTCAAGCCCTTCTTCCTCTTCTTCGACAAATCCTCCTGAACTCCAAGGATCACCACCACACGATGAGGTCGCCGAAGTAATGACTGTAATTGCGGAAGAATTTGACCCATCTGAACCATCCATACTTCCAGCTCTCATTTGGAATTTCTCGAATTTATAATGTTGAAAATTGAGACTCGAATGATCACCACAAGTTTCTTCGTCAATCCGAACTCGTCGACGAGTTGGTGCTCCTACTACTCTTGGTTGGCTGGGAGTAAATCGATATACTCCTTGAGTTTGTCGTATTATTTCTTCAACGTCGTCTAGATCTGGGCTTGTTGACCATTCGAAGATCGCCTCCTCTGATGACACAGGTGTAAGTTGCATATCCATGTCCACCTTTTCCTACCGAACAAGATCCGACCAAAGAAAATGATGAATGTAATTTAATGTCATCCACCAAAACATTCAAGCAGTAGCAGCGTATGTTTAAACCAACTCTGAAACAAAGGACCAATTCGACGATGTTTTGAGTTGGTAAAGATTTTGATTAGGTAAAAAAAGTATGATGGATGTTAAAATTCTGGGGATGGGTGGGTAGAAGAGTAGAAGTATGAAAGTGTAATAAAGTACTCTTTGGTAAAATGTATGTAGGTAACTCCGGATGTATGTATGATATGTATGATATGTATGGGTGGATGGGTAGGTGGGTAGGTGGTGGTAGAAGGAGGTTCACGATAGTACTATGCTGGTAATATTACTTCTATTGCCGATTAAATGGAAATGCTCGAGTTTCGGGGTAAGAGTAAAGATTCGCTTTAGCGGGACCTATTTCCAAGGGTAATTAATAAAGAGAGACTAGGGTTATTTTCGAATTCTTGACCGAATTCAATGGTAAAATGGTAAATGGTAATAATGAAGGGGTGTGTGTGTGGATGGGTGGATGATGAAGGTAAAGGATGAAGGGGTTTGAAGTTGTAAAGGTACGGGAGAAGAACGTGCGCAAATTGAAATCTGACAAGGGCCCTTACACACTTCGAATTGAGATTCCCAAGGTAAGTGGAGTTATCGGTAAGAGTACCTAGGTACTTTTCGTATGTTCTGTATGTTTTTGTAGCGTATGGTTATATCGATCAAGTCGGGGTTTCGAACTCAAAAGGATACAGGAGATGGTGGTTGAAATATGAGGTAGATGTACAACTAGGAGATTCTCCCCTCTTCTTGTCTAACGTATAACGTATAACGCAATAAGAAAGTTTGGGGAAGTATGTTTTGGCTTGTTGTACTGAGTACTGATATTGTACATGTACGAGTGTACAAGTGTACAAGTTGTACAAGAAAGAACACAAGAAGGAAGATGAAGATGTACAGATTATGTATCAATAACGAAAGCCAAGCAAGAACCAAGTCGAAAAAGAAGGGCCACCCCCAGATTGGGATTTGCAGACCAATCGAGTTTAAGTAACAAACTGCAAAATTAGGTTGTATGAATTGTTTATTTCGATTTATTACAAGGTTAAGATGCTTGCTTGCTCTGCTGCTCTAGCTCTCCTGCTTCGTAGTGCTTGCAGATACTACCTAGGTTGGTTGGCTGGGATTACTGTACGGGCCAAGGCGAGAACCATTTCTAGACGACAGGGTCGCAATTCGTTCCGTGATGCAGAAATATAAAGCTTAGGTATAGGTACGGCACGGCACATGCCAGTAGGTTGATTTGACGTGCGATCGATGCTCTTTTCGGTACGATACCACTTCTATTTCTCCAGACGACGACAAGTTAAGCCTATGTGAGACCCGTTTGATTATTTGGTTAAGACTCGGATATAGTGGTCTGTGGTAGTGGTAGTGGTCTAGGAGAAGGGGGAACAGATTATAAACGAAATGAGGGTAGTACAGTACTGGTACTATCTCATGAAGGGGGAAACCTCTCAAGTATATACCGGTATTATACCAATTTAGATGATTTTAGATAAAAACCACTAAAATTTATATGCATCCCTTATAAATCATATAATCTTTAGTCTTACGAAATGAAGTTAGATGAATTTGGGTACAGAAACCAGTCTTACTAGGTTCTCTCCGGTTTCATTAAAGACAAGCAGGCTCAGCTCAAAAGCGTAACATCCCGAATAATGAAATGCACTAACTAGTCAGATATTGGCTGAAAATCGATCAAACTTCATGTATTTTGAATGATGATTGGTCCTAATTTGATATTTAAATCTCTCATTCTCGATAGATCTGGTAATAGTCTTGAAGATATCGTAATGGAACGAATAAAATGTTCCAAGCTGATATTTTGAAGCGGTAGAAAGGTTTCAGCTCAGGGATGTTTGACTTTGAAATAAGTCGATCGATGAGGGGATTCGGGGACGACTCTGTTTCTCTTTCTACCTGCTGAGGAATCCCGGCAAGCTTTGTATGTCATAGGGGATCCACATTCCACGGTTGAGGGATTGAGGAATTCCACTTTTTCTCGCAAGGTTATGGGGTGTTTCCTTCCGTTGCAGAATAGCAATGACAATCATAGTAGAGAAATACCGGTAATAAGAGCTCAAGTACGTGGATATAATATATCAAGGAGTATAATGCGATGTATTGAAGATATAGATATTGTAGTCCCATGTTAGATCTTGACTGAGATTTCATACTTGACTAAATAAAAAAGTAGGGGGTATTAAACGACCCACCAAAAAAGCCCTTACAAATCTATGACATCCATCCCCGCCAATCTCAACTATTCCACGATAGGTTCAACCATGTACAAATCTCCCATTAGGGGTACATACATCGAGATTGAATTATCCAAAACATACCTAACCATTCTTGTCTTTCCAAACAAGCGCATTTCAAATTATCCAATATCCAATATCCAATATTCAACAGACCACCATCGACATCATCGATATCATCAACATCAAATCCATATCATCGTGACCTCCTTCATTTACACTCGGACTTCAATTATAAACTTCACTTCACTACAAGTTACCTAGGTAGTCCACAAGTGATTACTATACAGTGCACTCGTACACCCATCACGCATACGTATACGCTACTCACATGCATACATATATACATGCAGAAGTGGAAATGTTGATCGTCGTAGGCCCTTATTGCGTGCATCTGTTTTATCTAGTCTCTACTAGCACCTATACCAGCTCCGTGATAATTATAAAAATTTAATAAAATTTAATAAAATATTATTATTAATAATATTATAATTAAATAAAGTTAAAAGCTTTTCTAAAATCTTTATTTTAATAGAATTATAATTAAATTAATTAAATTCTAAATTAGAGTTATATTTAATTTAAATTTATTTTATATTTAAATATATTTCTAAAGATATATTTATTTATAATTTCGAATTTTTAAATATTAATAATAAAAATATTTATATATTTATATATTTATTTATAATATTTTTATTATTTGAATAGCTTTATGTTTTTATAGCTAAATATTAAATAATCATTTATAAATTAATATATATTAAATAATTATTTTAATTTATAAAATATTTTTAATTTTATTTATAGTAACTAGATATCGAATAGACTTATACTATTTCTTTAGTTTTTAGAATATATACTATACTAGTACTTATCGTTATACTCTATTCTATTATACTCTATTAGCTAATTTCTTAACTCACTATATAATATTTATATCTTATTCGTTATAGTCAAGCTCTTATCTAATCTTTTATATTATAAAATACTAAAAAAACGCATATAGTCAATATATAACAACGAATATTTTTTTAAAAATTTATATATAATACTATATTCAATTTTCAATAACG